AAAAAAGACAGGGAGAGAGCATCCCGACGTCCTTAATGCATCATGCATCCCGCCACGTAATACGCCTCACGCGCAGCAGCAGCCGTAGCAACAGCAGGAGTTTTCTAATCTCGACATTCTTGGGACGACGAATGATGGCTACCGCCGCCGGGAGGACGTATAATGTAAGTCTTCTCCAGATATCCCCTCCCCGCTGTGAAGCTTCAAGCTATTGTCTCCGAGGTCGGAGATCGCAATGTCTTTGGAGCTTCAAGCTTTGACTTTACAGAGCCACGCAATCAAGTCTCGCACGACGGGGAGGGACCAAAGACTACGTAACAAGGCATTAGTAACTCAATCTGCTCCCAGGACGCCGTCGACGCGCTCAACACCCTCCAAACCCCCTTCGCCGTAATCGAAGCCCGCCGCAAAGCGGGCATCCGACCCGACGAAGCCTCCATCGCAGAAATGCGAGCGTACCTCGCGCGCGTGGGCTACTCCGTCTCCGACCTCGACAGCCTGAACGTCATCCACGTTGCGGGGACAAAGGGGAAAGGAAGCACCTGCGCCTTTACCGACTCCATCCTCGCGCGGCACCGCGCCGCTTCGCCCAAGTCGATACCGCGCAAGGTGGGGCTGTTGATCTCGCCGCATTTGATTGCGGTTAGAGAGCGGATACGGATTAATGGCGTGCCGATATCTGAGGCGCTGTTTGCGCGGTATTTCTTCGAGGTGTGGGATCGGTTGGGGGAGGAGAATAAGGTGCAAGAAGAGGTTGTTGCGGTGGGGACGAGGCCGATTTATTCGAGGTACTTGACGCTTGTGAGCTTTCATGCGTTTTTGTCTGAGGGGTGCGATGTTGCGATCTTGGAGACGGGGATTGGAGGGGAGTATGATGCTACGAATCTCGTGGGACGGCCTGTCGCCACGGGGATTACGACGTTGGGGATCGATCATGTTTTTGCGCTGGGGGATACGGTGGAGAAGATTGCGTGGCATAAGGCGGGGATTATGAAGGCTGGGAGTAAGGGTTTCACGGTTGAGCAGGTTGCTGGGGCGGCGGGGGTGTTGGAGGAGAGGGCGAGGGAGAAGGGGGTTGACATGGAGGTTGTTGGTGTTGATCCGCGGCTTGAGGGTGTCAAGATCCGGCCTGATGCGGTGTTTCAGAAGAGGAATGCGAGTTTGGCGGTCAGGCTTGCGGAGACTGCGCTCGAGAGGGTTGATTCCGAGTTCAGGAGGGATCCGGAGAGGTTGTCGAGGCCGTTTGTGGAGGGGTTGGAAGGGGTTGTGTGGAGGGGACGGTGCGAGGTCAAGGAGGAGGGAAGCGTTGCGTGGTATGTTGACGGGGCGCATACGACGGATAGTCTGAGGATGGCGGCGCGGTGGTATATTGATGAGAGTGCGAGCAGAGGGAAGAAGGGGCCGAGGGCGTTGGTGTTTAATCAGCAGGGCCGGACGGAGGCGATTGACTTTTTGGATGGCATGTATGAGGCTATCAAGAGGGAGGATGGGAGGGCGTTTGAGAGCGTGGTGTTTTGTACGAATGTTACGTATGCCAAGACTGGGTATAAGCGAGGTAAGCCCCCCCTCCCCCCCCCTCCCCTCTCTTTCCTTTCATCATCTCGGCATCATGCTTTGAAATGGTCTTAGAGGAAGATTCGGATTCAAGAGGATAGAGGAGAAATGCTGACTTGACGATTGGACAGACTTTGTCAACCACCAGTACGACGCCAAGGCCATCGAGGCCATGACGGTGCAGAGGCAGTTTGCGGAGCGCTGGTCCAAGCTGGATCCCCACGCCGACGTGCGCGTGATACCGACCATCGAGGAGGCGTTGAACCACGTCCGGAGCGTCGGGGAGGGCCTTCCGGAGGGGGAGAGCATGCAGGCTCTTGTCACGGGCAGTCTGCATCTTGTTGGTGGCGCGCTGGGGATCCTGGAGGGCGCGGATGCTTTGTAGATGGTTAGAGGGTTTGGAGTATTTCTATTGCTTTTGCGTTTGACTCTGAGATTATGGGGTCTTGTGGGATAGCATGGGGTTTAGCAAGGAAATTACATATATAGGGGCACGAATAGACCTGTCCTCACGGATTCAACTCTAGGTTTATATGTTCTATATTCTTTGGTCTTCTATTCTAGGTGGGATCATAATAGACCTTCCGGCTCCAACAAGCCAATGACGTTTCCAACGAGATACATGCTCCCCGTAACCAGCACCTTTGTCCCCGACGTCGAAATCCCCGCGACGCCATCGACGGCGCTCTTCATCTCCGTTAGGTCTCTGCACACCACGACCTTTGTAGCAGGATACATTTCCCTGAATGCCGCGGCACACGCCTCCTGGACACTGAGATCCACGTCCCCGCCCTCGCCGGCGATGTTAGTCTTATCGTTCCTGGTAAAGATGGCGGCGGAGAGCCTCGTCTCAAGGCCGACACCCAAGGTCTTCATCTGGCGGAGGAACTCTGTCAGGAGGGCGGAGGCGTCGCGTTCTTGCTGGTTGAAGACGAGGATGAAACTTTCCTTGTTGTTCGCGGTGTCTGAGGGAGTTGTGGTTGCGACGATGGGAGATATCCAGCGCGCTACTTCCGCTAGACTATCCGAGTTGTGCGCGCCGTCGAGGTACCAGGATACACTACCCTGCCTTAGTACTTCATGCCGGCCACGGAGCGTCGCCTCGCGGAGACCGGCGATGAGGACTTGAGGTACATCCGCCAGCGAAGAATTCACCTCCCCTACTACCATCGTCTTTGACCCCGCGTCCCGGGCCTCGAGGACCTGGATATGGCGCCGCGCAGCCAGCGCAGCGAGAGCTTGGTTTCTCTTTTGGAAATCTCCGCCGGGTAATTTGGCACCCGGGACACCGGACCACGCGACGACATGCTCGTCGTCTACCTCGATTAGCTCCGCGCCTATTTCTCGTGCGCGGGAGCGGAGGGTGGACATTACGCCCGGGTGGTGGACCTCGTCGGATAGTTTGCGGGTGAAGGTTGCGGTGCCGGGTTTCATTACGCCTGCTTTATGCCATGCTATTTGCGAGGGGGTGGAGCCCAACATGGCGACGTGGTCTATCCCGAGCTGCGTGATGACTGACGTCGTTACGGCGGAGGCGGGGATGGCGTTTGTGGCGTCGTATTCGCCGCCGATGCCGCATTCCAGCACGACGGTGCGAATTTGGAGTTTGAGGAAGATGTGGAGGGCGAGGAGGGTGAGGAAGCGGAAGTAGAAGGGTTTGGCGCCGGGTTCGATGCCGAGGTCTGGGCCATCGCTGGCGCTGCTGCTGCCGCCGGGTGCCGAAGAGGTGCAGGAGGATAAGGTGTCCCAGAGTTCGAAGAAGGATGTTGCGAAGAGGTGGCGGGAGATGGGGATGTTGTTTATTGCGATGCGTTCGCGGGGGGAGAGGAGGTGGGGGGAGGTGTAGGTTCCTATTGGGCCTATTTGTGGCGTGGATGAGGCAGATGAGGAAGAGGACGAGTGGTGGAGGAGAGCCGAGGTCGTGAGGGCTGTTACGGAGCCTTTGCCTTTTGTGCCTGCGATGTGGATGAAGGAGAGGGAGGAGAGGCGTTTGGGGGTTAGGTTTGCGCGGAGGAGCCAGGCGCGCATTTCGGGGATGGCGAGGAGGTTTGGGTCTGTTGCTGGTGCTGGTGCTGCTGGGCTTTGGTTGGAGGAGGTGGTGGGAGCGGCATCTTTTGGTTTGTTGAAGAGGGCGTGGACTTTGAGGTTTGGGATGAGGGTGTTTAGGAGGTTGATTGCGTCGGTGTAAGTCCGTGATGATGGGGGCGTTGGTGGTGATGAGGAGGACATTGAGGTTATGAGTCTTGATGAGGAGGGATTATTGAAGAGGTGTTTTATGAGGCGTAATGAGGCTGAGGTGTGGGATGGGCGGCGGAAGAGCCTCATGAGTGTGGGATACTGGAGATGGAGGTAGATGGTAGGGATTTGTGATTACGACGTTGAAAGAAGCATTGTTTGTGAGTTTGGTGGTGGTGGTTGAGGCTGAAATTAGGTTGGTGGTTTGTGAGTGGTGAAGCTTTTTTGAGCGAGTTCCCACTTGAGATGAGAGTGAGCGGTTCAAGGGAGGCTTGGAACTCCACTCTGAGGTCTGTCAGTCACACATGTCTGTATCACTCTTACTGTTTGGGTTACGTTGTAAAACATTTAGTGATGTATTGAGATGCATGTGCTATAATTCGCAACATGAGTATATCGAGCACTGGTGTCTGAAATTGACGCTCTCTGTCCAGGCTGCCCCGAAAAGACGGGCTGTGCCGCTGCAGAAGCTGGGCATCTATTTCGTAGCCTGTAGGGGACATACTCTATCTACTATTCAGGTGCTGCACGAATTATACTGTATCTATAATCATCCAGATAATCTTGCCAGTATGTTTTGTAAAGTAACAATGACATGTACTCCAATTGGACAGTAAACAGATAAGCAGCCAGTGAAACAAAACCACTACTCCGTACACACAAAGATGAATCCGATCGCAGACACCCAGTGATGATGACAAGCATTCCGACACCCAAGGATAAGCCTTCCATTGCGGGGGGAACAGCCGAGGTGGGGGCAAGGTAGGACCCTTGGCACCTGTTCTAACTTCTGGCTCAATCCCTCATTCCCGTCGCAAAGGTGTTGCCGTCTGCGATCTCGGCTTCCAAGTCGCAGGGTCGCAGGATCGTAGATGTCGCCGTTGCAGATGTACCAAGGATGGAGACTATAATACGTGAGCAGTTATGAGTTGATGTTGATGTTGAAGGCTGATTACCAAGCCTTCAGCTGAATCTAGCAGTCTCGCGGATGACGGCACGGTTTAGGTGGGATAAGTAAGTTCCTACACTCCCAGATGAATTGAATGAGCAGTTTAGCAGTCTTTCGCTTCCTAGTAAGGTAGTTCGGCTTCGGCTTTTGGGTGGTGGATAATCAGAACACCAACTCTTTTAGGGACTCAACAGTAATGTAAACCAATCGGCAGGACGAACTGCTCCGAGAAATACTCTATGAGTCTATATGGGTAGGAACTTGGGATAAAAAGTACTAGACATTAAGTGTGAACTAAACAGTCTCACCGGCTCTCGCGCCGAGCTTACGCTGGTTAAATCCGATGTCGCATTAGCCCCAGCAAGAGTTCTCTGTCCGTATCCATGTTTTAGTGTAGGTCATTGAGTCAATCAACTTTTGCCGATTCGGCAACGCGGCAACAGTCGACATTCTCCCTCTCTCTCTCTCTCTCTCTCTCTCTCTCTCTCTCGGCTCTCGTCGCTCTCGCGTCTTTCCACCCCATACTACCTCAGTAGGTAGGGTACACTATTACACACGATTTTCACCTACCCCAGCCTTGGATGCTTTAGATCCCACACCCCTTGCTCTTAGCTGCTTCGAGACCAGTCCCTTTACGTCCATTTTTCCTCGCCATGGGACCAGGGTTCGGTCAGGTTGGAGTGCATGTGGAGGTGCATGTCATCGACTTTGGATTCGTAATGGAAATTTGTTGCGCCTTTCGCTCGTCACTTTTCCCTTCGATTCTTTTCTGTGACTTTTGATTTTGTCTCTTGACAACCATTAGGGAGTGACTGCTGCTACGGCATTCTTTCTTACTAGCTGTAGCTAACTTGAAAGATCATCACTCACTGAGTAATACCCAGTCTCAGCACGTTGTATCCATCATCGCCTCACCGTGTGTCTCTCTCTCTCTTTTTGCGCGAAGCTGGTAATCTCATTTTCAATCCTCACCTTGAAAGGTCCTGCCCAGCTAGCTACCTTGAGACTCACCACTTCCTCCCATGAATCATCAGTCTCTCGCTCAGCATCCCAAGAACAGATTGAGCTCTTAAGACAAGCACGAATCCCTCACACGACAGTCCTATACCGCCAAGACCATCGTCCAGCTTAGCAAAGCACAGATGACAGCAAAAGACTTCCACGAGGTCCACGACGACGAAAAAGTCGGCGATATTGAGCGCGCCGCCGGCTCTCAGACCGAAGATGGATCGCCCACAATCACCAGCAGCGACTCGGTGACGATCCGCAGCAACCCTGACGCGACGAACATCAAGGCGGAAGAGCAAGAACTCTCCCACAACGCCACTGCCACAACGGCGACAACAGGCCATGTGACGGCCCCCAGCGATACCAAAGAGGCCGCACCCGAAACACAAGCCACGGCAGCGGCGGTGCAGGGACCACCACCGGCAGCGGCGCCCGGCGCCGAAGACACCCCCGAGGCCGGCCGCACGAAGCTCGAGACGACGCTCATCGTGCTCTCGCTGTGCGCCGCGCTGTTCCTGGCGGCGCTAGACGTTACGATTATCACGACCGCCGTGCCGACTATTGCGGAGGAGTTTAATAGTAATATCGGATACATCTGGATCGGTTCGGCCTACCTCCTCAGCAATGCGGCTTTCGTGCCGACGTGGGGCAAGATTTCTGATATCTGGGGCCGGAAGCCGATTCTTCTGTGTGCTGTTGGTGTGTTTTGGGTTGGGTCGTTGATCTGTGGTTTGTCTACGAGTATGGGGTATGTTCTCTCTTAGGATTGAAAGGGGTTTATAAGAGTGTCTTACTCAGTTGCTAACATCATTCAGCATGCTCATCGGCGCCCGCGCGATCCAGGGCATAGGCGGCGGCGGCATCATCGTCCTCGTCAACATCTGCGTAAGCGACCTCTTCTCGATGCGCCAGCGCGGCGTCTATTTCGGCGTCATGGGCATGGTCTGGGCCGTCTCGAGCGCCATCGGGCCCGTCCTCGGCGGCGTCTTCACGAGTAAAGCCACCTGGCGGTGGTGCTTCTACGTCAACCTGCCCATCTCGGGCATCGGCTTCATCGTCCTCTTTTTCGTCCTCAAGCTGCATAACCCGCGGACGCCCGTCGCGCAGGGCCTGAAGGCGATCGACTGGGTCGGCACACTTACCATTATCGGCGGCACGCTCATGTTTCTTTTCGGTCTCGAGTTTGGCGGCGTCCAGTACCCCTGGAGCTCGCCTACTGTGATTTGCTTGATCGTGTTTGGGATCGTGACGATTGGGATATTCGCGGTCAATGAGTGGAAGTACGCGCGGTACCCCGTCATCCCGATGCACCTCTTCCGCAGCTGGTCCAACATGGCGGCCTTCGCGACGGCCTTCTGCCACGCCTTCGCCTTCATCTCGGGCAGCTACTGGCTGCCGCTCTACTTCCAGGGCGTGCAGGGCGTCTCCTCCCTCCTCTCGGGCGTCTACCTGCTCCCCTACGTCCTCTCGCTGTCCCTCATGTCCGCCGTCGCGGGCGTGCTGATCCGCAAGACGGGCAACTACGTCTACCTCATCGTCGGCGGCATGCTCGTCACGACCGTCGGGTTCGGTCTCTTCCACGACCTCCCGCTCGACAGGAATTTCACAAAGATTATCCTCTACCAGATCGTCGCGGGGCTCGGTATCGGGCCCAACTTTCAGAGTCCGCTGATTGCGGTGCAGACGTCGGTGGAGCCGCGCGATATCGCGGCCGCGACGTCGGCGTTTGGGTTCATCAGGCAGATGGGCACGTCGATTTCTGTGGTTATTGGTGGCGTTGTGTTCAATAATGAGATGCAGAGGCAGTATCCGCGGCTGAGAGAGGAGCTCGGCCCCGAGCTGGCGAATATGCTCTCTGGTTCGAGCGCCGCGTCTAGTGTGGGCGTGGTGGCGGATTTACAGGGGGAACAAGGGCAGATTGCGCGCGGGGCGTATCTGAGTTCTCTGAGGACGATGTATATCGTCTATGTTGCGTTTGCCGGGCTCGGGCTTATTTTGAGTTTGTTTGTCAGACAGGTGCAGTTGAGCAAGAAGCATACGGAGCATAAGACGGGGTTGAAGACGCTTCGGAGCCGGACTGGGAAGTGAGGCTTTACTTCTCATAGAGGCGCGTCTCGAGGTGGAAGAAACGGGGTAAGGGAACAGGGGGAGAAGGCGGCGAAGATGTGGAGGGTTTGCTAGACTTCAACAGCATGGCGTTTTTGGATAGGAGCATCTTGTTGGGTGGCAGCGAGCATCAACTGGATACCAAAAAATAGGATGCATTCTTTTCTCTCTCTCTTCTTCACGGACTCCACGGATTTTATTCATCAGTTGGCCCTCCTTTCGTGAACTTGTAGATTCTAGATGACTTCTAGTAGATGTCATACGTGGCTGTTATGCGGCGTTTTGCGAGACAAATCTGAGTAGCGATAACGAGCAGCGATAATGATGAATGCAGACAAGAAACCTTCACAGAATACTTCAGATCCGAAGACTTTATTCCCTCGGCGAGCGACGAGACATGGGACATGGAGACAAACCTAACACCCTGAACGTCCTGATTCGTCTCGGTCGATCGGGACGGAAGGGAATCAATATTCAAAGGCTGACCCCGAGGAATGTGCTGACAGCTTCACATCGCGTGGTCGAGTCGGTAGGACCTTAGTTTTGAACAAAACTTGTTGTCTATCAACATCTAGTCTATGGCTGCGCCGAGCAGCTACCTCATCTATTCTATGCAGGTTTCATCATGAATTCCCCGTCTGCGCCTCGGCAGCCTTCTCTTCGTTCCCTGCGCCGCCCTTCCGATGCCGCCACTCCCTGGCCAAAAACGTTAACGCAACACACAATCCCAGCCCAGCGAGCCCAACACCCATGTATAACGCGCCCCGGAACCCCTTGAACTGCTCCTCCTTGGTCCCCGTGCCCTTGCTGACGTGCACCTCCACCGTGCCCGCGAACCCGACGCCAAGCGCGATGCCGTAGTTGACCACTGTGTTGACCAAACTCGCTCCGATGCCCTGGTGCTCCTTCTTGACGGCATTCGACAGGATCAGCGTCGCGGCGGGGAAGCTCATGTCCATGCCAAAGGGCATGATGATCATGGAGACGAAGATCTGCGCCCAGTAGATCTGGTTCTCGGGCGCCGTAGCGGTGAGGATGACGCCGACGGTGAAGGCGACGAGCGCCATCGTCATGACGACGGGCGGGCGCACCTTGAGCGGGCCGAGGAGCTTGCCCGTGATGACGGCCGCGAGACCGCCCGTCACCACGACGGGTGAAAACCACGCGCACGTGAGCAGCGGCGAGAGCGTGCGGATCTCCTGGAGGATCTGGACGAGGTAGAGCGTCCAGATGCCGAAAGTCGCCCAGCCGCAGACAACAGCCGCGAGGACGAAAGCGACGTCGGCGTTGACGGCGTCAAAGGGCAGCAGTGGCTTCTCGGCGTACTTGAACTCGATGGCGGTGAAGACGCCGAACAGGACGAGGCCGAGGATGAGCGGGACGAGGACCGTGGGCGTCTTCCAGCCGTCGATGGGCGCCTGGTTCCACGCAAAGTTGAAGAGGACGAGCGCCACGATACCCGTGACGGCGCCGGGGATGTCGAGCTCGACAAACATGCCGCTGAGGGTCCTCGGTGGACGGTCGACCTTTGCGTGCGGCTCGGGGATGATGAAGTAGCCCGCGACAGCCAGGATCGCGAGCCAGATGGAAAGAGCCCACAGCGCCCAGGGCCACCACTCGAGCTCGAGCGTGCAGGCGATGGCGGCTCCGACGACGCCGCCCATGGGCGCGACAGCGCCGAAGAAAGAGAAGACCATGGCCTTGCGGTGGCCGGGCGGGTAGGCGGCGCCGAAGAGGGCCAGGGCGTTGGGGAGGCAGATGGCCGGGCCGATGCCCTGGAGGACGCGGGAGAAGACGGCGAGGGTGAAGTTTGAGTAGACGCTGAGGCCGGCGATGAGGGACCAGAGGGAGAACCAGGCGAAGCCGATGATGAGCATGCGCTTGTAGCCAAAGGCGTCACCGAGGCGACCCGAGAAGAGGATGAAGGTGCCGACGGTGAGGGAGTAGCCGGCGACGAGCCATGCTAGGCGGGCTGGGTTGTCTACGTGGAAGGAGCCGCCGATGACGTGGAGGAGGACGAGAGTTTCCATGTATGCGGCCTCTGTTATAGGTGGTCAGCTGTGTGTTCATGTCTTCTCATGCTCCAGGGTGGAGTGATGTTGTGAGATGGGGTTTTGGGGATAGGGGGGCAGCAACTCACGAGTGCAGAACTGTGCCATGCAGCAAATAATTACGAACATGGCTTCACGGGGGAACGACATGCCGTCGACGGCCCATACTGAAGAAGCATTGGATTGTTGCGGCGCGAGGTTATCGCCATTGTCGTCGCTTGAGTCGTCTCTACTCGATCGGCCTAAGCTTGAGTCGTCGGGGATGTGCTTGTCGTCTCGGAGCATGTTGACGTCCGGTGTCGCAGCGGCGGTTCTGTCGCCTGATGATGAGTCGATGCTCTTGCGAACATGTTGCTGTTGCTTCTCAGATGCCGACGGAGAAGCCATCGTGAAACTGGAGTGTGGTGTTCCTTCAACCTCGGATGTTGCTACACTAACATTCGAAAGGAGGAAGATCACCAGAGCGCATCATCATCAACGACGGGCGATACTCGAGTTGAAGTAATGGAAAATGATCTACCCGTCAGGTTGACGCCAACGCGCGAAGGCGGGAACGCCCCTCCGAACCGGGGAGGACCCATTTACAATTTGGAAAATTCGCCATTCCCGGACTAGGCGTACATACGAAGTACGGGACTAAGAAATTGAATCAAAGATCCCCGAACCAGCCAGCCAGGCCAGCGGGACAAGGGACGACCTAAAGCCCTACCTTAGAGGCTTAGAGCCGTCTGTCTCGGACTTACACGTGGGATTGGCGAGTTCTAGCAGAGGGTCCGGCCCAGGGTAGGGTGTACCGGGTATGGGTCCTTTTGGATCATGAATGGATCTTTTCTTTTCGTCCCTTGAGAATTGCTTCCGTGTGGTGGTTGCTGACTGGGTTCTTTGGGCTCACCAGGACGGCATTAGACCATATCCCAGTTGAGCACCACACATCCTTGGCCCCATCACGCGGCACGCGAGTCGGCATTCCAGCAACGAACTGCAGTTTTGCGTGGTCCATCTTTGCCATCAAACCAGTCGGTGCCCAGTGCGCTGCTGCGTCGATGACAGCCTGTTGACTGTTCTATGGGACCCCTTGAGAGGATATTTTTACCCTTTTCGGGATGACGCCCCCAGCGGGAAGAGAGCCAAAATCTAATCTGATCTGTAGCTTTCCCAACGGGACGGGACCATGTCGTCTCTTTCGGTGTATCCGTACGGAGTTAACTTGTTGAAGATATGTCAGCGACTTCAATATGATGGATGACTGAGAACCTTTCTGTCAAGTAAGCCTACGAGATCAGTCAGACGTGCAGACAACCTTCTCGAAGCCGCCTTAGAGATGAACAGCAAGACACGTTAACAATGCAGCCCGTTCCCGCCCATCGGCAAATCCGCCCCCGGGGCCGCGGGACACGCAGAGCTCTAGAACTCTCGTATACCTAAACGTACAGCCCCCAACCTTCTGCCCCAATCCAGCTTCTGGTCACGAGCCCTTTGTAGAGAGCTAGATAAGCTGGACTGCGGGCGGCGGCGCAGGCCAGCGAGCGGGACAAACATTTGCTTAACTCCTTTCGGAACACTTTTCGGAAAAGGCTCAACTCCAACAGTGCTTAACCTGCCACAGGTGTCAAGGGTGCCAGTGCTCAGCAGACGCAGGGCTGAGGAGGGCACGGAGGGTTCCAAAGAGGCGGGCAAAAGGCATTCAAAGTGTCGGGCTGGGCTGGTCTAGTGTCAAAGGCGCAAGAGCTTAGCAAAGCGCGTGGCGCACTGGCGTACATTTTCCCCCGCGCGCTCGGGATGGACGCCGCCATCCCACCCTCAAAGTTGGACGCTTTCGATGCCTACCAGGGCCAACACACTGGGAGCTTGGGCCCGAGTCAAGCCTAGTCTGGCTGCTGTCTGACAGACCAAGTTGACAAGTCCGCGGGTTCCAGCCACTTTTGGCGTTCTGGAATGGCCGTATTCGGCAGTGCGTTGGAAGTTGAGATAGCGGTGATTTGTAAAGCTGCGCTGGTGGTGATGCGCTGGAGCCTGGAGGACGTGAGGGCTGGGTTGACATTCATCCAAGGAATGTCTGAAAGACGGTTTATCTCCCCGAGTGGACTTGAGCTGCTGGTTGTTCAGATGAACCCCTGCCATTCTGTTGTTCGTTGACCAAAGTCCTCGCCAAACCTTCTGGCGTTATTTGCTCATTATTGTCCCGTTCGCGCTCTGCTGCCAAGACCATCAAACAAATTGCTCAGCAGCGTTTCAGATCACAGAATTTGTGTTTGGCTACAACAAGACGCCATTCATCGTGAAGAATCGGGGAAAAGTCCCAGTCATGTACGAGTCAATCACCTCTACGGAGTAACGCCGAAGGAGATTCAAGGGAGAGCGTGAAGAAGGTATTCCCGTATCTCCGTATTTCCGACACCTACCCCTCCGTTATTCCGCTTCTCAGCAGACAGTTGTGGGGCCGGGCTACTTCCGGTGGAGAAGGGGGGGCAGACCAGAGAGAACCACAAAGTCAGAAAACCGTACTCTTGAATTACACACGTCAGAGCCGCGCGCGTGTCCTGGTATCTTGCTGTTATCGGTCGTTGTTGCAACGTTTCGGAACTCGCGTATCTCGTTCCGAAATCTGATCTGCCAAAATATCTCAAAAATGACATCCACGCCGGTAGTCCACGGCGCGGCGCCGCCGAGGACCCATCGGAGATCGAGTAGTACGGGGCTCACGGCGGCGCGGATAAAAGGGTAAGGTATTAGTTCGCATTGCATCAACACGGCAGAGCTTCTACCAAGCCTTGCTGCGTGAAATCTCAAGCAAACGAGATCCAGAGCTGCCGCTCGTTCATCACGCGGCATATACTCCACGGTCCCGAGCCAACGGTTTCTCCCCCTCCATCACGTTCTTCCCACATGTGCTGAAGCAGCATCGATGTCTGACGAATGTTGCCCAGTCCAATGGCAGAGAAGGTGTGCTCGAGTCGCTCGCGGAGGAAACTCCGCTGGCCCTGGTCCACCACGCATGACCCGACCACAGCGATGGGCCAGCATAGGCTCGTGTTGATCTGGACACTCGGCGGCAGCTGTGCCAGACTCGCGAGGGCTTCGGCAAGGACCACTCGGGCCATTCTCACTGACAAATTATCCTCGTCGTCATTATCCTCAGTATGACGGTCCTCATCATCGTCTTGTGGAAGAGGATAGAGCGCTGTATACAAGTACAACAGGATCGCTTTTTGATATATGTAGCCGGCAAGAACGACGACCTCAGAACTGGTTGCTAGGTTCGGTGTCCAGCCCTGAATCTGCCTCTGGAGCTGAGCAAAGACGAAGAAGTCGTTGGCAGAGGGCCGCCAATTCGGGTTTTCTGCGTGAGATGACAAGCGGCGACCGAGTTCAAAGATGGACGGTATCAGGAGCAGAAGGTCTAGCCAGCAACCGCACAGACTACCGACGTAGGATGCTGCTACTAGATCTTTCGCCAGAAATACCAGGTCGTTACTGAGGAAGAGCTGGTCGCTTACGCGCGCGTCGGTGGAGATCATACTCAGCGTTGCCGTGTAGACGTAATATTCGGTCAAGAAATCCTTGAGGCCTTTGGGTAGTTGGCTGTCGAGGGTCACCGACGGAAGAAGAAGCGGCTGGGCTGCCATGAGATGATCAAAGATGGCGCCATTGATGTCGCCTTTTGCTGTCTATTGATCCATGGGGGCTGTGAGCATGTGGTCTGGCATCCTGCGTGTTGTAGGGGTGCGCCAAGAGGATAGGGGCGACGATATCAATGCTCTGCGTGTCGACGGATGAGAAAGAGAGCAAGACATGAACAAACTGACCTCTATGAAGCATAAAATTAAGGCCCCGATGCCCATGGTGAGCTTTTGCTCGAGCGGCTGCCCGCCAATAAAGCTCGAGAGGCTTCGCTGGAACAAACGAATCGACCGGCCATAATATTGGTCCGCAACCCGGTCTCCGCTGCACAGAGACTTGGACGCTCTGTGAACGGCACTCTGCGTCAGGAGTAACTGCAGCACGAGGTCGCTGCCAAACGCCAGCGGGATCAACTGTACGCAAAAGGGGTTATCCGGCGTCGACCCGTTGGCCATGCTAACCGTTGTCACACCTAGGTAGTGGCTCAACAGGTCCATCGAGTTGCTGTCGTTGATCCCGGGCATGAAGGACAGTGGCCTCGGGACTTGGACCCCGGGGCTCGACGGTATTCTCAGTGACGCGGCCAAGGTGTCCAGCAGGAGGTCGTCGTCATAACATCCATCTGAAGCGGTTGAGAAACAAAGAGGATCCAGTAATGTAGTGAAATCGACGGGGCTCTCGTGGACGGCGAGAGGTTCTAGGATGTCATCCGCTCGGCTCCCTTTAGTAGCATGTGACGTTAGCTGGGACCTCGACATAGACGGCGCCTCGTCAGATGGAAACGGTGCCTGTGGTATCGAGGCAACAGCCACGTTCGGCTCGGGTGACTTGGAGGACCGAGTAGCAGCAGCAGCAGCAACAGTGTCGGCCCTTTGCCGCGCGGCACTGGCCGGAGGGGCTGCCCGATACGGTGCTGGATTCTCCCTGCGTGTCGACGCCGGAGCCGGCCATTGACAATCGAACCCGTTGCGTTGGCAGCCACGACAGCACGGCTTCGTCTCGTCGCACTTTTTCTTTCGGCCGCGGCACGTCAAGCACCCAGTTCGCACGCGAAAGATGGGTCCAGCGCGGGTGGTTCGTGACCTCGGTGACATGATATTTCTTGTCTGGTCAAACGTCAAGCCCTTTTCCTATAAATTAATTGCAGAGAGGGGTGTGCTCGTGCACGTGTGATAATACGATGGTGAGATCGAGAGGACGTAGAAGAGGCCAAGACTGTGATCTCTGGCGTTTTGGGTGCTCTGAGACGTGAGTGAGAGTGAAGCCACTCAACTATTCTGGTCTGAGTCCAAGATTCGATGATACGAAAGAAAGCAGAAAGCGTGCGGGGGTCTGCCGAAGCTCAACGGCTCGGCCGTCTCGAGTGCGCGATCCGCCGGAGCCGCGGGGCCGATTCCGGACCCTCGCCAGCGCGGTAAAGCACGGGATTGGGCCGCTCGCGGAGTCTCCGGCCAGCAATCTCTCGGTGCGACCTATTCCCGTGACGACATGGAGGTTATGTGCCATCTTTGATTCCCTAGGTGAGATGAACAGAGGCGCCATGCTGGCACGTCTCTACAAAAAATTGCCTATGTAGAAGGATCGTTCAGGTAAAAGCATGTTTAAGGATGTTGCAGAAACGATCGTGTGAGAGCTGGTCACAACGACAGACCTAGACCTTTTCACGGGATTGAAGTCTCGGTCAAGTAGTGTGCTCATCAACCGAATGGATCAGTCATACTGTCGAGGGTATTGAGAGCCGTGTGAATAGTTCCAGCTCTCCAGTTCCGAGACACTTGCTCGTGCCATGAGACCGTCCATTATTCGAACTTCCCGGAGAACAACCATCGAAGCGCCGTAGCGCTCCGGAGTAGTGTGGGTCAGTCGGTCCGCGTTCACCGCGCTTGCCGCAGCTCTCTAACAGTGTTATAGTCACATGTAAGATTACAAAACAAGAAATTCCAGCAGGTGTCACTATGCTAATGTACAGAGAGCCTCAAAGAAGGTAATTTCAAATAGGGCATTTCGTGAAGAGCCGCAGGGCTACCACACACGTAAATAGTAACCGGCAACTATCTGAACGAGAACCGAACTTCTTCCCTGACGATCTTGGCAAGCCGCAGCGCATCCTCCCTTCCCTTTCTTGAGAACACATTGAAGTATGCCAGGAAGCTGTTCACGCCATGGCTTGGGTGGGCGACCTTTTGACCCTTCTTCACCAAACATCCGTACCGACTCACGTTCTTGGCAAGATCAGGCCGACGATTGAACAGATCGTCGCAGATATCCCCTGAATCAAAAATGCCCTCCGCCGAGGAAAAGTCGTAATCCGCGGGGATGAAGACCATCACGCACGTGTACTGGGGGCCGTCCCTGTACGCGTGACAGAGCGCCTTTGTGCGCTCCACGTCTCGCAGCGCGATCAGCATTCCCAGGCCCCAGTAATCGAGGCCGTGCGTGGACTCAATGACCTGTGTGCCCTTCATGCCCGGCGGGCGCGGGTTGATCTCGATGAGCCACGCCTCAGGGCTCTTGATCGCGCCCCGGCTCTGGGTTTCGGCGGCCCTCGGTCGGAGGTCGAGAACGCCGCCCTCAGTGCGGTACTCGACCGTCGAGTTGTCCACTCGTCCCTCGAGGTGCATGACGCCGTTGCGAAGTCCCAGCCTCAGCAGCGTATTGTGGAAGCAGATCCGGAGCAGGTTGATCTCCGATTCAGGGAGCTTGGAGGGGAACACGCTGTCGAGCTCGATGAAGGTTTTTGCGCCGCCGGAGCTGGAGCCGTTTGTGTCCGCGCTTTTGGGGAAGTCATCGCAAACCTCGAAGAAGAGGATCTCGCCGTCCAGGAGAACAAAGTTGGCGTCCACCTCCGGGCCGGCACAGTACCTCTCAATCACGAATTCGCTGCCGTGCCTGGACTTGGAGAGGGCGTCGAGGGGCCCCATGGCCTCGATGAGCTCGGTGTTGTTGTTGATAAGGAATACGCCCTCGGAGCTCCAGCCGTTGCAGGGCTTGATGATGCAGGGGAACAGAGAGCTGCCTTGCGTAGCCGTGACCTGGAGGATCTCCTGTGTGCTCGAGACAAGATGCGACTTTCGGCCCTCGAAGACGCTGGTTGCATACTTGTTGGTGGCGGTCATGAGGGCTTCGGGCTTGGAGCTTGGGAGGCCAAGCTTTTGCGCCGCCAGGGCTACTTGATGTTGGAATGAGTCACAAAAGGTGATAATACCGTCGACTTTCCCTTGGTAAGTGGCGACTGCCTGTGCAATTCGGTCTGCGAATCCTTCGTCCGGAGGCTGGGACATCTCGATGGGGATGAAAGCCTCTCGCCAGTGTTCATACTCAAGACCCTCTAACCAGTGGCCTGGGACATCGAGAACGACCATTTTGATTCCCAGAGCCATGGCGGCGAGATAGATGTTGGGTCCCGTGCCTCCATCGCTGGGGTGCTGGCGACTGCCCTCAACGATGACCAGGGTCTTAGGAGCTGTCGGCGTCGTTATCCACGGGAAGGACAGGCGGTTCTCCGTCTCAGCTTCGACGAACTGTGAGAACGAGCGGGCTTCGAGTGACCTAATCCCGGGCGGCAGTGCCTGAAGGATGAGACCACCCGCAGACACTTCGAGTAGTTCTGCGAGGCCGTTCAATTGAGAGACTTGGACAGGCAGACCCGAAAAGAATCTCAGTGGCTCTGATAGGGACGACCGGGCGTCTACGAACTCGCAGTCAATAAAGCGGAGCGGGATGATATCGGATCGAACGATTTGCCCCTCAACGAGCGGCACGATGAGCTTGGCGACACGGGTGCCGCACCCGAGGCCGCTTTTTAGGGATGCGCGAAGACATTCAGAGAGAAAATCGGTCGCAAGCTTAGATGATGAGATGGAGAAGCGCCAGTCATCGTCCCAGGCGTGGCTCAGCCGTGTGTTGTTGGAGGCATCTGTTGGGGTAATATCGAAGAGAACGTCGATGGTTTGCCAATCGTTGCCGCGAATCGGATTCGTGTAGGCTTTCCAAGAGAATTCATATACAGCTGACGATGGTTAGATAAAGGACCGAAGCTGTGCCTGATGTAGGCAAGGGATGATCACTACTTTACCTTCATTCGTTGGAGATAGGACTTGGAAGTGATTTCTCGCGGGTTTGGTTTGGTCCGGCAGATCAATGATGTCGCCCATGACGATTGGAATGCTACTATATAATGAGAACGACTTTTTGCAATTATTACAAAGCTGTAACGTTCTTCTCTAAATTGGATCAATCGTCGTGCTGGATCTCCCATATGACATTAAACATACTATGTCCAGCTCTTCTCAAGACGTGTCCGCGACGAGCCTTCTCTGGCGGCCTACTTGAAGCACTATTCGAGAAGCTGTGTGCTTATACGTCTGAGTTTACCTTTCAATATGCCAAGCTTACGATATTTTCCCGACTTACACGCGCATAATATGCCTGGTTTGTGATTATCTGGTTGCTTATGTGCTTGATTACCCGATCCACAAGCAACCATGCTGCAACAACTCCACTTCATAAAAGATCCCTGTCAGCTTCATGAGAAATTGCAAGAGTATCAATGTCATTCATATACTTTCTAATCTCAAACGGCGACATACTTTCCGCCTGCTGCCGGAACCTTTCGTCGACTTCTATTCTATGAAGCCCCAGCAATTACCGCCAAGATGTCCGACCTACTTTCCGGTCCGCGTAGGTACCTCTTCGATAGAACGCTTGCCGAGAGCTTCACCATCGCAGCCTCTTTTCTTGTCGTTGTCGTTCTCTACAAAATCGTTCCGTCCCTCATTAGCCTGTACCGCTGGAAAGAGCCGAAAGTCCGTGTGCCTGTCTTGAATCTCGGCGAAGATAAGAACTATGCCTCTGCCTCAGAAAAATACGTGCACGACTTCAAGTCCATTCTCCAACAGGGCTGGGAGAGGTTTCGAGATGGTGTCTATCAGGTCTGGGGCATCGACGGCTTCGTGGTGATTGTTGCACCCAAGTTTGTCGAGGAGCTCAATACCAAGGGAACGGATGTGGTCGACGTGCATGCTGCGAGTCAGACGGTATGAAATTGTCCAATAATGGTCCGAAACACTCTGAACAATTCACTGATGGGTGTTTGTATAGCGAATCATTGGCGATTACGAATGGCTGCGGATTGCGGACCATCTTCTGTTCCATTCAGTGCAGACTGACTTGACACGACAAGTTGGTAAGTGATATTAGCAGCCACCATGGTCTTCTGATGAAAACGAGGAATCCAAGGTTATTGACACCAAAAAGGTGCATTGCTCCCCGGTATGCGAGAAGAAGTTGAGTACGCGTGCTCCTTGCACCTGCCTGCTGGTCAAGGTAAGTAGTTGGCTCAGGAATCATGAAAGCCCAGTAAACTAAAAGCTCAACCCTTCAGAATGGTCCTCTGCTGCACTTTGGCCTCGCATGGTCAAAATTATGGCCCTAGTCGTCTCCCGCATGACTGTTGGTCCGGACCTGAGCCGCGACGAGGTCTGGCTCGACACCATGGTGGGCTTTCTTGACGACTTGTTCGCCGGCGGCTGGGCCCTCAAGGCATGGTCCCGACCCTTGCGTCCCTTTGCCGCCAGAGGAGGTTTTGTCTCAGGCATTTGCGATGTGTGGAAGCGACAAGCTACTGCCAGAGACATGTTGATTCCGATCATAAAGCAGCGCCGGGCGGCGGAAGCGGCAGCTCGAGCTTCCGGAAAGGAGTGGGAAAGACCGAATGACCTTCTGCAGTGGATGACTGATAACGCAGCAAAGGACAAGTCACCTAAGAGTGACAGCTTCGTAGCCGAGATGTGTCTCGTCTCAGGATTTGGTTCTCTTCACGCTTCAGGCGTCACCTTGACTAATGCGGTTCTGGATTTGGCGGCAATGCCGAAGTATCAGGATACCATTCGAGAAGAGAACCAAGAGGCGCGGAAGCGCCAAGAGTCAAACACAAAAGAGGCGGCAATCCTTAGCAGCCTAACAAAGCTTGACAGCTTTTTGAAGGAGTCTCAAAGAATGAACCCTACCACATTGAGTAAGTGGCCAATGATACCATGTCAGATACTCAAACTAATGAGGCGAAAAGCTGCATTTTCAAGGCAGGTCATGAAGCCCGTAACCCTTTCAAACGGCGTTCATCTTCCGAAAGGGACTCACATCCTTGCTCCCTCATCTATGGTCTCGTGGGATCCTGAAGTCTACTCCTCTCCTGAAAAGTTTGACGGTCTTCGTTTCCATAATAAACGGATGAACGCGGCCGACGGTGGTGCTCATAGAAACCAGTTCACGAGTTACTCTTCCGAGCAATTGCATTTCGGGTTCGGGCGCCAGGCCTGTCCCGGTCGTTTCTTCGGTAGTGCGATCATCAAGCTCATCATCCTTCATTTGGTTGATCATTTCGAATTGGACCTTGTTGATAAGGAGGCAGGGAGACCTAAGAACGGGATTAAGGGGGCGATGATTACTCCGGGGGAGGAACAGGAGATACTATTTAGGCGTAGACAGCTTTAGCTCCAGTTTATTGCAATGAACGCGAGAAGAGTTATTAGCTTGCACTTCGCCAGAAAGGGAAAACTCTTTAATCTTGCGATCCAATTTACTGACTCCTTCTCGGCGTCCTCATTAACGTGGAAGCCCCCAAATGTATCGACTTTTGCCGTTCCTGGCATTATAGTACTTGTTATTCAAGCCAGGATATTGGGAGAGGTACCTTAATGAAAGCAAAGGGACAAAGTAACTCTATCCTGTGCCTTGCCAACACTATTCGATGGTGTTGACTCTACAACTCAAGACATCAAATAAGATGTACAACATGATCGTCTTCTCTCAATACCCCAGCAACTACTACCCTTACGAAAGACAAATCAATACGATTTACCAATTTGAATACACTGAATGCCATTGACAGATATCTGGGCTTAGTTGCGGCAATACCCATGAACTGGATAAGTTTACATATATCTGTTCTGATTCAACTAGGCCCAGCCACATCAGTGCAGATTTATATTCCCAGAGACGTTTACCAAAATCAGATACTTATGCTTTCTGAATTCTCCTTTAGAGACGAGAAACACAAGTAAAACGCTAAGGGATCAACAGAAGGAAGGCAGAGAAGGAACGATGAAAAAATAAATCAGAAAAGCTAGGTGACTTGGCGACGGGTCCGCATGCCGGTGCGACTAAGCTGGAAACTAACCGGGTAATCAAGGTTTGCAGGTATGGTTTTGTATAATAGCAAGTAAGCACATTTGAGAGGAAACTCAGCAACACTGAACATTGTCGAGCAGTAGCGTCAACCTGGTATTTTTCTTCGCAATTCTAGGCGTTCCCTTTTTATCTACTATAGTAAGTATTTCAAGTCTGGCCAGTCCACAACTATTCCAAATTACCTCATCTCGTCGCGCTTGACCTGCACCCGAATACTGTGGTTATTGCCCCACACTCAAACCTTCACAATGGCCGTCCCCAAAGTCGCATCAGCCGAGAGAACTCTAGTCATTGACCAGTCCAAGACCAGCATTTTGCATCCCAACATCCACAGAAAGCCGCCGCCGATTGTAGCCTCTGGCAAAGGGTCGTACTTGGTACTCGAGGATGGCCGCCGGATCTTTGAGGCGTGTGCAGGCCCTGCCGTCGCCTGTCTCGGCCATGGAAACACTGAGGTTACTCAGGCTGTTGTCGAGCAGATGCAGAGCGTGTCCTACTGCTTTGCCTTGAATCAGTCCAACCGGCCGGCCGAAGAACTCGCCAAGGCGGTGATTGAGACTACGAATGGAAAGCTTGCAAAAGGAACCATCATGAGCTCTGGTAAGTCTGTAGCTAAATTGCCCCATGTCTTGTACCTTGCTAACTGATGCAAGGCTCTGAGGCTGTCGAGGCAGCAATGAAGCTCGCAGTAAAGTACTTTGCGGAACTTGGCGTACCCAATAGGGCGGGCTTCATAGCCCGAGCGGGTGCCTTTCACGGAACCACTCTGGGCTCACTTGCGTTGAGCGGCAAAGTCGCGTTCCGTAAACCTTTTGAGCCGCTCCTCAAGAGCGACATGGTATCCTTTGTCTCGATGCCCAACACATATCGCGGCATGCTCGATGGCGAGACTACGGAGGAGTACGTCGAGAGACTGGCGTGTGAGCTCGACGCCGAGTTCGAGCTTCGCGGACCCAACAATGTCTGTGCCTTTATTGCAGAAACGGTCAGCGGGAGTGTGAGTTTTCAAAGCTTCTCCATCACGTTTAGAGGACCGTTGACTGACAAAATTAGGCACTGGGCTGCCATACTGCGCCTCCGGGATACTTCAAGGCTATCAAAGCGGTATGCGACAAGCATTCGGCACTGCTAATCCTTGACGAAGTCTTCTGCGGCATCGGCCGCACAGGGACCTACCACGCCTGGCAACAGGAAGATGTGATCCCCGACATCCAGACAGTAGCAAAGGGCGTCGCTGGCGGGTACGCACCCGTCGCAATGATGCTCGTTCATCAGAGGGTGGTCGATGCCATTGACGGCGGATCCGGCGTCTGGAACCACGGGCACACTTTTAGCTCGCACCCCGTGGCATGCGCAGCGGGTGTTGCCGTTCAACGTATCATCAAGAGGGAAGATCTCGTGGAGAACTCAAGGCGCATGGGAGAGCGTCTGGGAGCGGCTCTGCGCGCTGCTCTGGGCAGTCATCCCAATGTTGGGGACATTCGAGGCCGGGGGCTGATGTGGGCGGTCGAGTTCGTCAAGAACAAGACCACGAAGCAGCCTTTCCCTGCAGAGGATGCCGTATCTGCTAGGATAAGTCAGACTGGTCTCTCGGAGCCATGGAACGTTTATTTCTATCCAGGAGCTGGAACTGCCGATGGTATTTCTGGAGACCACATTACGATTGCTCCCGCATATACTGTCAGCGAGAAAGAGGTGGATCTGATTGTTGCCAAGCTCCAGGGCCTTCTGCTTGATGTTCTCGGCTAAGGCAGTTCTCATTGTATTGTGATGAAGAGGAACCCATATCTTGCCCTTTGGGTGCATTTAAGAAGCATGGGTCACATCCCCGATAGACGCAGCAAGTTTCTTCTTCTTCTTGTAGGTACGAGCATGCGGTAGTTATACTCCTTTTTTTGCATTTATATAAATTATTTAGTAGTGTCATACAAAGCTAGATGCAACACTTGTGACGCCTATTCTTGATGCCTCGGGAACAAGTGCAATGGACTGGTTGACATCGGCACCATATTCCAAAAGTAATCGCACCAGGTCCTCGTTCCCGCCTAAAATGGCCTTGAAGAGAGCCGAGTGCCCGCACCCATCTACACTGTTCACATTGGCACCCGCCTTGAGCACGAGGCGGACGATGTTCATCTGGTTACTCTCTACGGCCAGATGAAGCGTGTCCTTGCGCTGTTGCGTCAGCGCATTTAGGTCTCCTCCCTTTTCGATCAGTAGTTTGACGATGGCCTCGTTGCCGTGCACAACGGCCGCGTGGAGTACTGTTCCGCCAACTCCGCCCATAGTGGACTGGTTTCCAAAGATGGGTTCGTTGGCCTCCTGGTTTTTCAACCAGCAAGATAATGATATGCCTGTCTACATGCCGATAGTCTCAGCATTGGCATAAGAAAGTCTCTGACACGCCATAGAATTTTCCTTACCTGGGTATCCGTGTTTGCGGAGTTATCATCATGATCAAAAGTTGGGTAACCCGACAGCGGGTCCATAAAACCACGCCGTGGGTTGAGGTTAGATTCGATGATGGGGTCTAGACTAAGCGTTCTGGATAACGGAGAGGACTGAAATGAGAAAGCCTCATCGTCGGAGGGGGCTAGAGTTTGGTGATCTCCTTGCGTCTTGTGATTATTCGTTGAAGTCGGCGTCGGTTTGGTGGTGCCACTCCCACCTGAACCGGCCGGGGACGCACTCCGTTGATTCTCGAGATCCTCGATACGCTTGAGTAGGCCTTTCCCTGTAGGGTGTCAGTATCACTTGCGTTACTTCCACTGTTTAGCTCGCGGGTGGGGCATCCGGATGCAACCTACTGTAGGTTCGCTGGGCCTCTCTATTCTGTTGCCGTCTCCTTTCGCTGACAACGTTGCCTGCCATTCTCAGGGTACTTCAACCGAAACACCAAAATTCACACTTAACAGGAGCTTCCGAGAACAATATTCGTCCGAGGGAGCCGAAAAAGACCGCCAAGTAATCCGGTAATATATATTCTCGTTGAGGCCAAGTCCCAAGAGCATGCGAGAAGGGTCGGATCTTCCCGAATCAGAAGGATGGAACTCAGATGCACGGCCTGCGGGGACGGGTGTTGAAGCCGTGATGGGGACTAATGCAACCCTACTGCGGTCAACAAGAGACCAATACGAGTGTTGGGGGCATCCGTGATCTAGGGCGGGATCTTGGCGCCGAGAAAGGTAGTCCAACTTCTGAAAGTAAACATTGACTCGAATGTATCGGAAAGTAGTGACTCGAATGTGTCCGTAATTGCGGGCTTCAATGACTCTGAAATGCTCCTTGTCTCGGGAGGAAGAGTGGAACAACATTGTGTCAGGAAATGAGGATGTTTCCAGAGGGTCTGCATGTAATACCACACAGCAGCCATGAGTTGTGGTGTACCATACGCTGTAAATCGTATCGTGGCGCTGATGGCGACTGGAAAGAATTGAAGACTGAAAAGTATATAAGCTTTGTAGGAAAATTGGACTCGCGTGGGGACAAAGACCATTACACAAACCTTAAGCTGCCAGCATACTAGCCAACGACATGGGCAATATACCACATGTTCAAAGGAGTGGCCGATTCGGTTGTATTATTGAGAAAATTGTTGAAAGCGGCAGTGCCGGACCCCTCCGGAAGCCCCTCCCGGAGGTCGGTCCCGGGGTGCAACACCCATGTTAGCGCGCGTGTACAAACTAAGGGTTCTGTGGAACTACACTCCACATATATCCGCCCGAGATATGGTTTATTATGATTGGTTGTGTAAAGACACAAGCTTTTCATATTTCGTACATTAAAACTGGGTAGTGCTAGGTCTAGGTCAAGTCGATTGTCAGATATGCTGTCATATAGCCGTATGAAGACGCGATTTATTAATTCAAGTGCAGCCCTGAAAGTATGTTGTTGTCCCTTTCCATCTTGGTGGCCCCCATATCTGATCCACCGTGTACGGATCGTTACACGGGTTGAATGCATGTGTGGATGAATACGGATGTGCGCGTCTGACATGGTATATAAACTATAACCTGCCTGCTACTTGCCTCGGTGCGTCTTTCTTCTGTCATTAAACCCTCACCTCCTCACCTACTCGTCTTATTACCTTGGTCAGGCGGCAAGTCGACCACTCAGAATCGTTACCGCCACTGACCGTTTCGTCGCGGTCGCCAATCATACTCGCTGTAAGCATACTTGCTACCTAACCCATTTTTTAAGCAGGCCAGTTCACGTTGTGAACTATGGCAGGTAACACTCTATCAGATCAGTCTCGGTCTGAGAAGCAGGGCGGCTCCATCGCCCCCTCTTCGGACCCGGACCCTGAATCCATCTCCGGAACCCAGCACGGAGACGAAGAATCATCCCCTGCAGAACCAGAACATGAAGTCTATCCCGAGGGCGGTACCCAGGCATGGCTTGCCGTTGCGGGCTCCTTCCTCGTTTACTTCGCATCTTTCGGTGTCGTGAACAGCTTCGGCTTCTTCCAGACCTTTTATCAACAAGAGTACCTGAAGAATTACTCGCCCACCGCCATTTCCTTCATCGGAACCCTGCAGATCACCCTGATGTATCTGTCGGGTGCTGTTGCCGGAGCACTGTTTGATCTCTACGGTCCCAAAGTATGTAGCCCTGCTCCCAAGTCCCACTCCTCGGTTATAAATTTGCTAACTTTCATGTGAGTGGCTCTACCTGTTCGCTGCCATTGGTGGTGCCGGCTCCATGCTTGCGACATCCTTCACGCAGCCGAATGCAATCTGGCAGCAATTTCTGGCCCAATCTCTTCTCTTCGGCCTCACAGTCGCCTATGGAGTGCAAGTAAGTAGTTTACTCTCCTTCTGTTAACTACCGACGCTCATCCTCGGCCCCACGCTCTGAAGACATGGAGGACAAGGGGACGGGGTCAGGTGATGGCACGCTAGATTCAGGCAGATGAATCTTGATCCCTAGGAACCTCTCGGGTCGTTGTAAGCTCTTGAACGTACTGACTCCAGTGTGATAGCCCGCTCTCACGGTTGCAGGGCAGTATTTCCACCGCAAGCGTGCTCTGGCCATGGGAATCGTCGCCTCCGGTAGCAGTTTCGGAGGAGTCTGCCTGCCAATCATGTTCTCCAAACTGATTCCTACCATTGGTTTCCCGTGGGCACTGCGTGTCGGGGCCCTGATCATGGTCATCTGCTACACTATAGCCATAGCCGTCTCCTCGTCCAAACGGCCCAAGAGGAAGATGAGATCTTTTAGGGATTTGCTTGACTACAAAGGCTTTCTCGACATCCGATACTCTTGTCTCTCAGCCGGAGCAGTCATCTCAAGTCTCGGCATTTACGTTCCGTTCTACTACATTGGTAAGTGCATGAATTCACATCTTTTCGGCTTCGTACCCTGCAAATCGCGGTCTAACAAAATCCAGAGCCGTTTTGCGTCGCCCTTGATCCGAACTCGACCATTCGGCCTTACCTTCTCCCACTGATCAACGCGGCCAGTCTTTTTGGTCGTATCATGTACGTAGTCTTCCCTGACTCTACCCACATTCTTCAACAAACTAACTTTGATAGTGGCGGTCACGCGGCGGACCGCATCGGACGGCTGAACTTTCTCTACCCCATGATCCTTCTATGTGGGCTTTTGTGCGTGGCGATGTGGCTCCCTGCTACAACCCCTGGCGTTCTGGCTGGCTTTGCCTGCCTCTACGGCTTCGCATCTGGGGTTTTCATCTCAGTCATGCCTGCCGCCACCGGCCAAATTATCCCTGCTGATAAGTTGGGCGCAAGACTCGGCGCCTTTGGCACCGTTACGTCTATGGCGTTTTTGACTGGTAGTCCAATCGCTGGCGCGTTGATTACAAGCGAGACCCGAGCCGGGTACCATTCTCTGATCATCTTTGCAGTAAGTCTTGCATTTACCCGCCTTATTGATCAGAAATCATTTGCTAACGGCACATTCTTAGGGGTGTTGTCTGCTCGGAGGAGGAGCCGTCATCTTCGTTGCTCGACTCCTGCACGACAGAAACCTCAAAAGCAAATGGTAAACTTACAAGTATGCGAAGAACTAGAAAGTCTATTCACGTGGTAGCGTTGGGCTTCACACGACCGATCTAGGCTGCATTCTCAAAACGGCGGCTCGACGCGGCACTTGGATGCGGTTTTGGTTGGCTGGACCAGATCACTAAACACATGAGATTCACTCTGGAGGATGGAGATGGGAAGTATGAAAGTGGATATACGGTCTGTTGGGCAAAAGACCGAGCTGGGCTGAGTTGTGACTTCTAAGTGACTAAAAGTACGGGTGATGTGGGCTGTGGGCGGACTGCATGTGTGGAAAAGGAGGGTTCGAGGCTGTCTAACCTATACACGTAAACTTCTCAGTAGTATTGAATTACAGCCCGAGCAGAAGATTGCCTCAGCTATGCTTACCGCTTCCAATATGACAACTCGAAGCATAGTACATGCTGACCTGGGGGCAAAAGCCATCGAAACTCAGCTTATGCACGACAGCATGTCATCATATCGCCCCCTGTTATGAAGAGACTGCCTCGACATACATATTTAAGATCACACCGCCGTTATACGGACATCTTCCCGGCTCCCAAGACCGTGAACAGACATTCTATCACTCCCCGAAGTTATCCCAAGCCATGTCAGAAAGTGCCACATACTTGATCACTGGAGCGGGTCGCGGTACGTGCCTCATCAAATTTACTTTCCCAAAAAGCCCCATTCGGTACACCTGGATCTAACTGGGCATTAACTGAGCAGGCCTCGGCCGCGGCCTCGCCGAGGCGATCCTCCAACGGCCCAACACCACAGTCATCGCCGCAACGCGCTCTCAAGGCCAGGCCTCCGATTTGCTCAGCTTTCGCACCCACTCCGGAAGCAGACTAATCACCATCACAATCGACAGCCGTTCCCCGAAGGACGCCTCGCTTGCAATTGAGAAACTGGTCCACGATCATGGAGTGGATACGATCGACGTGGTAATCGCCAACGCGGGCATCAGCAAGGCCCCTACACCGGCTGCCGAGACACCAATCGAAGACGTCCTCGACTGCTTCACTGTAAACGCCGTTGCGCCCTTGCTTCTATTCCAGGCTACGTGGCGCCTATTAGCGAGATCGTCGACACCAAAGTTTGTCGTAATCTCGAGTATTGCCGGGAGTTTGGGCGAGGTCCCTCGGTATGCCTCGCCTTGCGCGGCCTACGGCTCCTCCAAGGCCGCGGTCAACTTCATGGTCCGCAGGATCGGGAGCGAGAACGAGAATCTAATCGCCCTTGCTCTGCACCCAGGGTAAGCCGACACTTCTCTCTTTCCCCCCTCCTCATCTTCTGCTTTGCGTAACGTTTGGTCGCTAATGAGTGTCTTTGCGGGGGGTAAAGGTGGATGCAAACGGAGATGGGCAACGCTGCTGCGGTCAGGTTCGGAAAAAAGGAGGCCCCTGTCTCGGTCGCTGAGGCTACGGACTCCATTCTGACTGAGGTATGCATGCTCAGGTGATTAGATGAGCTGCATTGCTCGGAACTAACTGTTGAGCAGATTGATCAAGCGACCCGGGAGACTGCAGCTGCATTCCGCACCTATGATCATAAGGAGCTTCCGTGGTGAATGCGATGTAGGCATTCTGTGGCTAAGAATATCTATTCGGTTTGACCAAAGGGTCAAAATCGCCGGGAAAATGTCCATAGACGAGATCAGTAACACTTTTCTATTGTTTTATCCCACTCCCTGCTGTTATTGTATGATCGTAATCACCCTTTGACACCGTGTTACCACGTCTATCGTGAAATTGTGAGCTGTTTGAAAACTCGGAGTTTTGAGAATAGCTAAATGACTCTTCCAGTGGTTGTTGAGTAGCCCTAAAACCTGTGACTGAATCCATTGGGGAAGGAATTGTTTGCAAGAGCTTTTACCAAGCCACACAAACGAGATAACTAAACTTCATGTTGACGTTGCCTACATGTATACTGTAGTATTGGGGCATCCCTCTGCGTTACGGTCAACGGTGCTGTGAACCCAACTAAACTTAGCACGTAGTATGTTACATGTCTGTCACCTACCTTGCCTGAGAAAGTTCAAGCTCATCAAGCCTTGCTGGTCGCATCACTACATCGCAAAGGATCTGACTATTGTGCTATTAGCGAGACAATACAATCACAACTGCTTACGCAAACGCTCAAAATAAGCAAGAAGTTAAATTTTTCGCTCGCCTGTAGCTCCACCTTTTTGCTTAGATGTATGCACATATGAAGCATAAGCGTTTTCAATACACAAAATCCCTTGCTTACCAGCATAGATGCGTCTCAAGTACATCCCTGAATTGGGTAATTGCCTGTGTCAATATCGACTTGCTTATTTTGACCGGTCGTTGGCTCTTAGCTTTCCAAGTTCCAAGTAGAAGCATTTTGACATGCTAGTCAAGGCTTACCATACCAAATTACAGACTTGGCAGTTGCTTTGAGTGATGATGCAACCGAGCCAATGGAAATAGTCGAATAGTCGATGGTGACAACGGCTCGATTTTTCACGAAGACTGAAGCTGCGGTCCGTTAGAGTTGCCTACGGCTCAACTCTAATGCTGACAGGCAAGGCCCTTTAGAGTGGCGTGAGAGACTAGCGAACACCGACCGTCTTGCCATCATAGCCTTACCTACGGGTTCTTGGCACTGAACTGATGATTATGTTTGCTTGCCAAAACATCTCCGCAGAAGTCATTCATTCGGGACTCTTGCACGAAGATTGAGAATATCGGAGGCTGGGTAAACACTCTAGTCAGTTGCCCTGAGCCATCTCCAATTTCAATAAAGGAAGCTCGCTGTCTTCGACCGAATTACATGTTTGTTCTAAGGTTCATTCCTATCATCCTTTGTACAACTTCATCAGGTTGGCCTTCAAATTAGACTCGCAAATATTTATCGAAGTGTAGTACATCACAAGTTCACAACACAACTCAAGATGACGGCCACCAACTCAATTGAAACCGCGGCCGCTCCCGAGCCTGCCATGGAGAAGTTCCTTCTGGTCGGTGCTGGTGCTCACGCCAAGAGAACTTATATTCCCCACCTCAAGACTCTTCGCGAAGAGGGCAGGGCCTATCTCAAAGTTGTCGTCGATATCGAGCGATGCAAGGACAGAGTGGAAGACCTCTTGTTCACCAAGGGAATGGCTCCGGATGCAGAGCTGGTTCTGGTCCCGGCCTACGACGGACCCATGCCTGTCGACGTCGCCGCGCGCCTGAACGAAGTTGTGGCGCGAACTGGAGTGACCTGCGCGGTCATCAGCACCGAGCCTCTTGCCCACAAGTCATATGGTCTTTGGGCTGTTTCCGCTGGTTTGAACATCATCATGGACAAGCCTATCTCGACTAGGAACGGTGCAGTCACCGACTTCGATGCCGCCTTCGGAATTGCCGAGGACTACCAGGATCTTGCTGATGCCTACGAAGAGCTCCGAAAGCGCCAGATCGCTCAAGGCCAGAAGCCAACATTCTTCCAAATGAACAGTCATCGCCGCTACCACCCTGGATTTTACTGCACCTTCGACATGATCAAGGAGATTCAGGAGAAGACCAGATGTCCCGTGACGAACATCATCTCAACACATTGCGATGGCAAATGGCGCATGCCTTCAGAGATCGTGGACGAGCCTTATCACCCCTACCGTACAGGCTACGGCAAGGTTTCTCACAGCGGCTACCACTTCTTTGACATGATTTACAACTTTATGCGGTCCGGCTGGTCCGACACCAAGCGCCCCGACAAGATGGAGATTTCCAGCAGCTTTGTACTCCCCGCTGGTTTCGTCACCACCTTGAACGAGGACGACTACGACCACATCTTTGGAAAGGAGGAGTACGCCAAGTGGAAGAAGTACACCGATGAGGAGCTGATGAAGCTCATGGGCGACATGGGAGAGATCGACGCTTCCATCCAAGTCACCTTCTCTCGCGGGGGTCACGCTATCGCTATCGCCCAGATCAACCTCCTTCACAATGGCTTTTCACGCCGCAGCTGGCTGCAGCCCGGCGCTGACCTGTACAAGGGCAACGGAAGAGTTAAGCATGAGGCCCATGAGATCCGCAGCGGCCCTCTGCAGACCATCGTTATCGACTCCCGTCAGGCCAACGACAAGCACGACCGCTCCAAGCCCAGCACCGGCGAGATCGGCACCGACAACCACTTCGAGGTCCACGTCTTCCGCAACCACGACATCACCGGCGACGAGGCCCCCCTGAAGACCTTCACCGTCGCCGACCTCGACCGCCGCTACAACACCGCTATGCCCGGCATCTATTCCGAGAACGTCAAGCGCGGAATCTTGTGGGAGGCTGTGGACTTCCTCCACGACAAAAAGACTCTTCCCGAGCTCACCTCCAACTTGGCGGATCACGCCATCCCCGCCTACATCATGAGCGCCGCTTATATCTCCCACATCAGGAGAACGCGGGGTCTTGACCCAACCGTCCCCATCGAGCTCGCTTACGGAGGTATGTTTACTTCATGATTTTGCCCTGAATTCGAGACGCAGTGAACTGACCTTCCTTCTTTCCTTTAGCCGATGGACTGGCCAAGGCCCACATTGCCGAGGCTCTGTATAGACCTTTCGAGACTGCAAGTGATGCCAGCAGCGCTACAGACGTGGACCTGGCGACTCCGCTTGACGAGCCCTTACTCACAGAGGCATCCATCAAGGCAGCTAAGCTCGGTCTGACGGAGCCTTTGGCGTCTTTGAACGCGGTTTGAGCTGGCGAATGAATTAAAACTGATAGCCCGCCATAAGTAACCATATTACTGAATGGCGAGGGTTAGGAAAGGTCCCGGTCATTAGTCTGTTCAACGAGCTATCGCTTCAAGGTCTCGGATGCGTGTTGGGGACGTAAAATGAAAGTATGGACATCTGGATAATTGCCTATAGCGGTATTTTGCTTATAACATTTATATGTTTCGTTTTTTAAAACACGTTAAATGGAAGTGATGTAAATGTTTCAAACAGGGAATTTAGACCTTTATGATGTTCTCTCGTCAGTCCAATATCCATGCCGCCTCGACGTGCGCATTGGCCACTGCCGCAGCCCTCACGTACTTCAGCCAGCAGTACTTCGATTATACACCCTGCTTGTCTCCTGTCTTCCAAGTGACGCTAACGCAGCGCAAAGGTTCAGGCAATTCTTTATCATCGTAAGCGGTATCTGCTCCAAGTCGTCGCCTGGATAATTTGTTCCACGCTCCTGCTCGAAGTTGATGTTTGAGTCACGCGCCGTGTATGTGTTGTTCTTATCATTGAGATAAGGGCAGTTGGTTATGACCCCTCCATGAACTGAAAAAGCCCTGACTGATAGTGGAGTCGATGTAATGGTGGATGTTGCAAGTGAGGTTGAAGATATGGCGCTTAGGGTTGTTAGGACCAGATACGAAGGCGATAACGATGCTTTCGACCTAGTATATATCAATCAGTCTTGCATGATGATTTAGATAGAAACAATTTAGCAAACTCACGCTTCGCAATCATGTCTTGTTTGTTCGAGCGCCTTGGTTGTCATTCCGGCGACTACTGCCGCTGCAATTGCGCCCAACAAAAAGGCTGCAGCTGTGAGCCCGACCCAGAAGGTCACTTGCCCGATGCCACAACCTCGAAATCCACCTTCAGAGGTGACTTGATCTTGGCGAGGATGCTGGTTGCATGAGGCAAGCTCATGGGCATTGACTTGGCCCTGGTGATGTTGCTGCCCGGAGTGATTCTCCTCCTTGACAGGATGTGCTACTTCAAGGTCGCCGTACTCTGCTGACATGGTATCGGTTGTTTTTATACCTTGAAGAGAGTCGCTCGTGAGGTACACAGGCTCTAGCTAAGGTATTGAAAGTCGGCCTTCAGGAGCCATTGTTGAGAAGCATCCTCATGTTCAAAAAGGGGTATCAAGAATTGGAACAAAAACTGGCATTCTTCATCGGAGGGCAGTACGTTTAAAAGACTAATCATATGTTCTCATTGAAATGACCCGTGACGGCATGACTTGGTACCACAATAGTCTTCGACCCACAGGAGACGGGCAATTGCGTCCCCCGTACTCACACATGCTCACCTGAACTTTTGATGACCTAGGTAGAACAGTCTCGGTTCCTGTACGACTTGGCTTGCTTATTACGTGTCTACTTTGTTTGGTTCTCCCTTCGCTACCATTCAGATGATATTTAGCAAAGCAAAACGTAGACGTAGCGAGGGGATCTTTCTTCTGGGATTCGAAACGATTACTTTTAGGTTCGAATTTAGCTAATTATAATATATAACTATTATACTTATATGAATCATACCTATATATCAATTCTTTATACCCGTATGTTAATTCCATTTTACAAATGAAAAAACTACAAATAAGAGCCCGATCTTTATATACCGTTCGATATACTAATACGTAGTAACTTTTGATTATAGTAGTTATCTTTCGAGCAAAACATATGCGTTTACTACACCATTATAGTGGTGCCTGGGGTTAAAGAGATATTTTATAGAGACTTTAAGTAGAAACGTCAGCCCTTATATCAATTTTACTCAAATCAATCTATTCTGGACTTGCAAGTTGATAACCAAAATTATGCACAGTTCTTTTTCAAAAAACTAATAAACAAAATGGCTAATACTGTAATCCGCGAAGTGCTGCTTTGTCGGACAGCATAGTGTACTAGAACATACACTTGGTTCCCAGGCTTTGAAGAACAAACTCACTTGGAGTCTTCGTTCCTATGCCTTTCGCGATACAGTAGTTGAATGCCCTGTGTTGCTGGATTTAGGTTTCAGCAATGTAGTTAACGTAGTCTGTAAGATCAAGCGTAAACTTTCTCCGGACGCGTTGAACGCGTTTGTCGAGGATTGGCTTTTGCAGCCGAGGGAAGAAGCAATCTTGGTGGGTGCAGACACTCCCTCACTATTTCACCGCTACTACCGTAGGTACAATGGATATCTACCTACAGGATAAGCCTGGTAGGAGGGTTAAGCTGGATTCAGTAACCAGGCAAGGTGGATAACTATTGGTTAAGAAGCTCTCAAAACTTCCTCTTAATCTTGATAGCGCTTATCCCATCGGCTGCGAGTCGACGTTAATCTACCTATCTCCAGTTTTACTCCATAGAAATTTACGTGTCTATACTGACGACGACTCGTACCCGACGGGATGGGTTGTTATCCCCCCCCCCCCCCCGGGTCCGGCAACCTCACCCACAATGTCGGAAATACCAGTGGTGGCTCTGTTTAATTCAGAGGTTGTCGTTCTTTCGTGAGTTTCCGCTTTTTAAACTTCCGTGGTGTGGGAACTGGTTGAAACTCCCACGCAGCCCCCGAACTCGCCGGGGCCTCAACGTCTTTTTCTCTGTCCAGCCGCAACATTTTATTCACCAGGGAAATTCGATATTTGATGCTCTGGTATTGACTGCAGCATCTAAGATCGAATTCTGTTCTAAAATGCATGTTTTTACCGTGTCTTGTCAAGTACCTTCGGCTCAGGTTGTCATCCCATCCATTCCGCCGGTCATGACGGTTTAGTACTCAGTATCCGTTCTAGCCTTGGCTCTTACATCCCCTGTGACTTACCTATTGCCTTCTGTACATTTCTCCTTAGCCACAAAGATGGGCTAATGGCTCGTCCAGCGGTCAAGATCAGAAGCTGATTGACACCCCCGTCCGACGAGCGATTAGCACAGGTGCAAGACGGACGGACGTTGGCTTCAAGTCCGAGGCTTAGACACCGGCCCGAGTCCCGCACGGCTTCGATTATATTAAGTGTCACTGCTCATGACTCTGCAAGTGGTCCGTCCTCAGCATTTTAATACATCTTACTTTATCAAGGTTTCAAAAGTCAATCCGAGTCAGATTGCACAGTTTCAGGCCATATATAGACACGGAGTTCTCTATAGTGTAAGTCTTGATAGTATTTGAACACGAACATCCGCCTTTGCACTACAGAATCCAATTCATCGACATCTAGAATCATCTTTACAACGCACTCTTTCTCAGTTAACAATCATGAAGGCCTCTGTCATTACCACTCTGCTTGCTCAGGCTCTTGCCGTCAGTGCTTTGCAGAAGTACTGCAACGGTGGACAAGGTCTCGCCAGTGGAAACACCTGTGAAGTGAGTGTCCAAAGCTTATGTGCAGCGCAATACGACCACTGACATCTATGCTCGTCTAGGGAAAGGGAGCAAACTCTTATTGCGTAAGTTACAGCCATTCTGCCGAGCAACGTATATCTGATTATCACCAAAGTGCCTCAACGTACAATCATCAGCGTTCCCCACTTTCCGCGGATCATGCTTCTCCCCCCAGAGCATTCGTGATCGGGAGGATGTCAACCAGGACTGCCCTGGAGGTGTAAGTTATCCCTTGCTATTTCGCATCCATGAGCTTGATTGCTGATCAACCTCCCTATAGTCTGTCTACTGCGTAAGCTACCGCTCACTAAATCTGATAAATGAATGGCTGTTTACTTCTCATAGTGCGACTAAGCTATTCGATCGCGCGAGGCTTTACGAAGCAGGTGCTGGGAGAGTAATTAAAAGGTTAGCAGGGTGCTTGCAGACGAACGCCCTTAACATGACCCATGCCGTACGCGTTATTGGCGGGTATTGGGATAAGAGGCTTACCAAGCTGGACCGGTCGATCGCATCGACTATCAATACTACTATAGAAGACAACTATTCGATGCCAATGCAGGTGTGGGTGCAGCGGAAATTTTTCAAGCATCCTGTCTCGAGACTGAATTTTCTCCGGTAACACCGTGGCACAACTAGACTGTCCGCCAACGCCAAGATGTGACTTGAAGTTGTTTCTACCAGTTCCAGGATCTTCATTCATAGCAGTCCCACTTCTCAACGGAAAATCACGTTGCAAGATACCTAGTGAGGCCGTGAGATGAAGTTCACCGTACGATGTTCAGATACATAATTAATGGACATGTATATGCTTTAGGGTATTTTTCAAGAATCTAGCGTTAACCTCTCAATAAGCTTGTTTTACAAAAATCATCTAGCAACGGGTAGATCAGGACTTTGAAGGGGTGTATCTATGTCCACCTTATCAAGATGACTGCAGACCCTCTCGGCGGCAAAATCGAAGACTCGGTAAACGCGGTTCGGGGGCTTATTTGGCAGAGCCAGACCAAACCAGATAAGCGCAAATTTCCGTAGCGGTGGACTAGAGATATCGGACGCGGCAAACGGTCTCAAAACTACATGTACCTATACGAGATTACGATGCATGAATACATGTAATGGAGGCTGCCGACAATCTCTAAAAGCCTGTAGTTTTCTCGTGGTATGATGATATCCGGGGGCGTCTCCATCCCAGCCAGGATTCGCTACGTTTTGGGAAGTTTTGCCTCCTTGAGACATTGTAGTGATTCATTAATCGTTTTCACTTTCTTCATTCTCAAGAAATTACACCCCATTCGCGGTCTCACGACCTCCCCCAATCAGCTAATATGCCCGGAAGACTCGAAGGAAAGAACATCATAATCACTGGTGCTGCTGGGTAAGCGAATTCCATCGCTATCTGGAAGGACAAGCTCATATTTAAATCCAGTGGTATTGGGTTAGAGTCATCAACCCTCATGTTTAGAGAGGGTGCCTCCGTCCTAATGACAGACCTCAATAAAGAACTCCTTGACAAGGCACTTGAACGAGTGAGGGAAGTTGTATCAAACGTTCCCATAAATCTTGAGACTCGTGTCGTAGACGTGTCGAGCAAGTCCGAAGTCGAGCAGGCCGTCAATCACCTAGATAGCTGGGGCGGCCTCGAAGTCATCCTCAACAACGCCGGCGTCATGCACCCCCGTGACGGCGACACGCATGAGTGCTCTGCCGAGGTCTGGAACAAGACGTTTGATATCAACGTTAAGGGAGTCTGGTACGGAAGCAAGCATGCGGTGAAGTCCCTCCGGAAACATGGCAAGACAAAAAGGCAGCGTCATCAACACAGCTAGCATGGTCGCCATCGTCGGATCGGCCACGCCGCAGTTGGCGTACACCGCGAGCAAGGGCGCGGTGATGGCCCACCTCGGGAGTTAGCGATTGTGCACGCCAGAGAAGGTGAGAAAAGCAATCTTCACTTATGGTCCCTGTCGAGGCGTCGGTGAAATTTCGCCAGCATAGTGACAAGTCGTAGGTTACCGCTTCAACACCATTTGTCTGGCGCCGTTGAAGTATGTTATTCCACCCCTTCCCTTCGCACGGAAGAATTCGAACGGCTGCCACGGCACTCCCATGCTCCAGGACTTCCTGGGTGACGACCGTGCCAAGCGGTTCCAGGTGTAGGTGCATTTTTCCACTGGTCGCTTCGGCGAGGCCTTGAGCTAAAGCTCATAGGGCAGTTGTTTAACATCACTGGCTCCTCTTCAACTCAATTGATCCGTCAGATAAATAACGTGAGGTTTGCGCCTCGTCAAACTTGATTGTATGCGAACAAATATCGCATTCCTATGTTTGCTAGAAAGTAAGAGACATCAGTTCTTCGTGAAATGGCAACAATGCAGGAACCAAGATGATGCTTACTATGTTGCCATCTTACAGCTATGCGGAGACTTTGCAGTACCTATGGATGAACCATGGGCGACATCCTCCAGCACATGGGTCCGCTACAACAGTGCTGATTGAGCCTAAAGTGAAGCATGATTCAGGGCCATCGACACGCTATGACACCCAAGGATGAAGGGCAGTACTTTGATGGATATTGCAGATACAAAGAGAATCTCAGGAAAGAAAATTAAACCGAAAGAGAAGAGTTCTGGCGCTACGGCATGTGCAAACCATTCAGGACCGTAGAGATGGCTGCCTATTCAGGATTTCATACTCCGTACTCATACACTTGAGCCTGAATCCTTATGTGGAGTTCCATAAACATGCCCTGGACCAGGGGCCTGACCCGCTGACAGCTTGCATCCTGTGCACACTAGAGAGGACCTTTCTCGTCAGCCTAAACGTCAGACAACGAGGAGGAGCAATCTGCAACGCAAGAATCAATCAATCATGTCTATCTTTAGTGACAGCAATTTGGGGTTCGACTATATTACAGTCGACTCAACCTTTGGCCCCGTCAAAGGATTCATCAACAGAGACTATCCAAACGTCGCCCAGTTCCTCGGCATTCCCTTCGCCGAACCGCCGATAGGCTCGCGCCGGTGGTTGCCTCCAACGCCGAAATCTCCGGTCGACAGCATTGATGCTGTAAAGTTTGGCTTCTCTTGCCCTCAGCAGCTTGGTGGCAGGCCATCGGTCTATAATACGGATGTGACTGAACATCAGATCCGAGACGAGACTTCTGAGGATTGTCTCTCTCTTTGCATTTGGGCACCCAAAAATGCGGTCAAGGAGGGGTCCACGAAGAAGCTCCCTGTGATAGTTTTCATCACAGGCGGCGCATTTCTCGTCGGCGGCTCTACGATCCCTTATCAGAATCCAACGCCCTGGATCGAGAACAGCAAACGCCACATTGTCGTCAGCATCAAGTCAGTATACCGAACCTCTCGGACCATCCCAATCTCACCTCGGGGATCTATGCGCTTACACGGATCCAGTTATCGCCTGAACGTCTTCGGCTTCCCCAACGCCGCAGGACTCAACCCTAATGAACGTAATTTGGGATTCCTAGACCAGCGTCTCGGGTTGGAATGGGTACATCAACACATCGCCTCCTTCGGCGGCGACCCATCGCGAATGACGCACTTTGGACAATCAGCAGGCGCCCGCAGCATCGACTGCCACGCGTTCCTCCACCCAGACAAGCCCCTGGTGCGAAACCTCATTCTCCATTCCGGTTGTGCGCTCCCTCCACTTCCAGTGAGCGACCCAAAATGTACGCACTTCAGCGCTCTCGCCAAGGCACTCGGTTTCTCGGGCGGTGATGCTGCGGCGGAGCTGAAGTTTATGAGACAACAGCCTCCGCAAGTTCTTCTCGAGGCTATCCATAACCACTGGGCCACTGAGGAGAAGCCTTTTCTGAGCTTCCGGCCTATAGTAGACAACTTTACTCTATTCAATGATTATGAAGACAGAGCCAAGGCAGGAAACTTCAGTAAACTGGTAAGCAGGACTCGCTCACTGATTCCGAGTTGATCATCGCTAACTGGCCCCAACAAGCCGGCGATTTGTGGAACCATGAACGACGAAGGGAATTCAGTAGCCGTGTATCATCCCGACGGGGCTGATTCATTCTGGGCGGAAACCATTACGAAAGACTACTTCTTGGGACCAATGGTAGCCATGGCACGGTATAAAATACTCTCCCCAATACTTCTTGACAGTCTTAGTACAGCTGCTAACGATCTGCTGGATGACAGAGCCCGCTCAGCTCATGCCCCGACGTTCCGCTTCTTGCTCAAAGACTTTGCACCTGCTGGGGCCAGCTCGTTCCCCAATATTAGTCCACGACCATGGCTTAGAGCCTACCACAGCTCGGACATGCCTTTAATCTTCGGAACACACGATTGGGCTCGTGGCCCCTCTACGCCATTGGAAGAGAAGGTCTCGCGCGCATGGCAAGATCTGTATGTGACTTTTGCGGAAGATGGGCCGGATGGGCTGCGGAGAATGGGATGGAGTGACATGAGTGAAGGTGTGGGAATCGTACTAGGTGGTGGTGAGAAGGGTTGGGAGACAGTCAGCCTGGAAGAGATTGACAACAGGTGAGCATTGCAGAGATGGCTTCATGAGAGTAGCGACAGCATGAACAGCCTTTGAGACACAGATGATAGTCAGCCAGAACTTTTGCCTGTCTTGAAATAATTTATCGGGGCGGCTATGAATTCATATTCGGTCTGTAAATTGCCTTGATGAGACGTGACTCTACACGCGGCGTTTACTTTTGCAAGTACACGTTGTTGCATACGTCTCTGAATACGTCCATGGTTCTCTGCCACCCTCCAACGACATCATCAACTCTCTTCGCCATATCCCTTCCCAAAGGCAGCAACCTCTCAGCCTCCTTGCCCTCACCGACTCCTGTGCCGGCGACGACTTCATATATCACCTTGGCTGCCTTTACATGATCCCCATCGGCAGGAAAGCCCTCTGTTGCCGATGCAGCCATGACCTTAAAAACTGCATCTAGAGCAGTGCCGTCGTAGTCCGAAGGCGTAGGCTTACTCGCTAACCTAACCGTCGGCCCCATATTCGTGTCGAACGACCCGAGCGCAACTGTCAAGACGCGGACACCAAACGGAGCCATTTCTTTTGCGAGGACTTTGCTAACTCCTATGCGAAATCTCATCAGCCGTTGACGCGCGAGAGGGTTAAAGGTCATCACACTCACCGTCCATCGCAGCTTTCGCAGCCGCATAAACGCCCATCGACTCTCTCCCCTCCAACCCAGCCCCAGAGCTGATGTTGACGATAACACCGCTGCTTCTCTCTCGCATCAGGGGAGCGATCGCCCTCATCAACCGGTAGGGCCCAAAGAATACAGTATCCATCTGCGCCCTCGTCTCTTCTTCCGTGAAACCTTCTGCAGGACCATGGATGGACCATCCAGCATTATTGACTAGCACATCGATCAACGTACCAGCTTTCTCGAGGTCCGTGATGAGGTCTCCCGAGTTCAAGTCGTCAACGTCGAGCGGAAGCCAGCGTCCTCCTCCATCCTGAACTTCACGCACTAAGTCCGGCGTCTTTTGGGGGTTGCGCGATGTGGCGATTACAGTGTGCCCTTGTTTTTGCGCCAGTCTTGTGAGAGCTAGTCCGAACCCGGATGAGCAGCCGGTGATGAGCCATGTTAAAGGTCTATCTGGGACAACAAGAGGATGAGACATGGTGATGAAATTGCAAGTTCTGTATAGGCGCTTCGATTGAACTCTGGCAATAGATATGTTGTATGACTCCTAATTCGAACGATTTTATATGCTTGTGTCTTAGAGTTTGTACGCCCGGAGTTTGAGGTTGAAGCCGAAGGACATTGGATGTGAGCGGCCCTGCATCGACCAGCGTCTCACGGAGAATCGGCCGGCGCGGACTTAAGCCAGACCCGGACTACGTCCGGGTTATATACCACAACATACCGGCGTCTGCATTTGCTTCGCAACATGTGATCTTGGCTATTAACACTAGATATGTGCAGAGGCTAACCACGGGTTTAAGAATTCCGAGTTGGTGGAGATTTGACTGGATCTTTCTCAAGCTTCAAGCTTGCAGCAGATTGGCGCGCTAGATGGTGTAAAGCGCAACATGGCCTATTGTAGACTCAATCCAAAGGAATAGCACATGTGAGTGGCTGTTGTATTGCAGCACTTTGTTTACCTTGGTACTTTGAGTAACGCTAACTGGTAAGACTCATATCCATATCCTACCTCGCATCATACATGGCACGGCAATTAACTTAAACTTGGCCTCTGGTGCGTATCAACGGCTCTTGCTTCTCTTCGCTGCCGGCAAATTAAACAGTTGCAGTAAGGATAATTTGCTGCATTTCTATTCGATCTAGAAGAGAAACATAACCCGAGGACCTCCACGAGCTTGTGGAGTGGCTTGGAGGCTTCGTACTTGACCAGTTTTCGAGCTGTGATCATCTTGATATTTGGAGCCAGTGGAAGTACCATCAAAACCCACGTGGAATAAGCATTGCTCTCGATTACGTTTGATCTCAGCTTTGCGTTTGAACTTCTTTGAATTAGCTTCCCTCTTGGCCCCTTTCCGAACAAACCTCATTTCTGCCATATTATTGGAGATTTTATCTGTCATCAAGACTGAGGACGTGACAACATCTGAAAGCCCTTCGATGCGGAAAGTTCTAAGACTATGAGCTGAGAAATAGCAGTCCAGTTGCACTGTGTTCATTCGTGTATAAGTGATAGATTTGGAATATGGCCGCAAACAACAAATTACTTGTGTGACCATATGACGTGTCTGCAAGATTGGCATTGCCAGGATGAATTATTAATAAACGCGAGCTGGAGTTGGAATTATGTGATCACCCACCGCTATTCCTTCCTTCGCCACCACATATTAAGTAGTTTGTGGGATGAAAGTTGCACGAATACGACAACACAAACTTGTCGGCAGTTGGTAGCTTGGCATTTGTGGCATTGATACTATAAGCGGCGTAATCAGAGGAGCTCCGCAAACACTAGAAGTGAACCTCGCCCCCAATACCAGATAAACCTGGCACTCGTGGCATTGAAGCTACAGGCCACTCTGAGTAGCGGACCAATCCACCGCAAATGTTTCTCTGACTATCACGATGGATGCATGGGGATGAAGGACAACGGAGCCACCTCCGAGATCAACTCCGGTAAATTGGAAAGACTCGGACTCGGACATTGAAATCCAGCCCCTGGGGTTGCTGGGTTTGCTGTTGCGGGCAGCGGCACAGCAGTATTGCAACAATTGCAAGGGGTGAAGTCAGTTTTTAACCGCAAACGCGGATACCTTTCCTGAAAAGGAAGTTTGCGTACCGAGCCAGTGGTTTGATTGTTGATCGTGACCCTTGCCAAGCTCTTGAACTCTATTGTTCGTTTTTTCTAGCGCGATGTCACCTAGGCCTCGAGTGCTGTATTGGCAAAAAGTCAATGATCAATCCGATGCACACGGATATTGTGGCGTCTGTCGGTACCAGCCGTTGCTAGTTGAGGCTTGCAAACTATCTTACAGAAATGTTTCCCCAAACAAAATGTGACTAGTAAGTATGCAGTCAGTCATATGTTCTTGCAACTCGGAAGACGTGAGCGAAGTTGCCGGCGTGTCAAATGCAACAGACCATGTTGTCGCAGAGAATACCGACATGCCAGTATAGCTGTCAAAACCTAGATGCTTCCCCCCACCAGTGTCGCTGCAGGATAGAAGAGGAAGCCATCTCCGTTCGTCTGAACTCTGTGCAAATCCTGGTTCGGGAGCGAACTCTGCCGTTCTAAATGGGAAGGAGAAAAAAAAATAGGGAGAGGAAAGCATTCCAGGGATTGTCAGCCAAAAATGCGAGTTTCTTTGGACTAACAACGCAGGAAAACTTTCTGAGTACATGATCAAGGTATGCATGTTTGCGAAAATCAGATTGCATGCTGCAGCCAAGATTGTTTGGTAAAACCACATGGCCATTTTACGCCGCTTTCTAGCAGACTACACCTGCAGCAGGGCCAGTAGTGTACATCAGTCAACACCGAGCGCCGAACCGGGTTTTCGGGCCCTTGGATCTGCGTGTTGCTCCGACGCCTGTCTCTGCTCCCTTCATTGACAGGATTCAATAGGCAAGACTAGATGTTAGACAAACAGGCTCAAAAATGAGAACAGGAGGGGGAAAAAAAACAAGGGTCATTCGTCAATGTCTGACACGCCATCAGCCTACCACTCAAGTCTGACAAAACCACAGTAAGCAACGCGGGCACGCGGGCAGAGACAAAAGAACCATGGAGCGGGATCCACGTGTAAGCCTAAACTGGGCAGAAAATTGGGTCAGTGGCCAAGGTCAGCCCGTGCTCGCATGAACCAGTCGCCTCTTGCACAACATCGATCTTCCCGCGAAACTCGAGGGGGCTGTGGACTTGGGCATTAGCGAATCACATTGGCTGACTCTGCTTTTCGAAGTCTGACTAAAGCCCTAAGAGCCGGCAGGTTGCCTGCAGGATAGATGCGAAAAGCGCATGACATTTGGTTGTTGGCTCTGATTTGAAAGAGAGGATTCCGGCCCGTGTCCGAGACCATACAAATGCCTGGATTGAGACTTTTGATCTTAGCACAATCTCGTCATCCACAGTGACAATTTTCCGATGTGTTCTAAAATCTAAACAAGATGAAATGATTCCCGCATTCCAACCCAATCGCCGGAAACTAATGGCTCATCATGGACACCAATCTCGCGGCCCCCAATATCACCACACGGAAACCAGGTTACCCGCCGCGTGGCTTTGCCCTAGGGTCGGGGGGGCTCTGTCAAGGCATTGGCAAGCGGCAAGCAAGCCGCAAAACACCTCATTCCCCAGTACTCTCCCATTACTCACAGACGGCCGGCCACCGGAACCCCGGTCCCGGCGTGATTGCGACAAGGAACATGGCATCAGAAAAGCCCCATCGTTGGGTCCGCCGTCTCATACGAGGGGGTAGGCCGCAGCTGAAAGCCTGGCACAAGAAAGAAAAAACAAGAACCACAGGAACCGAAGAACATCCGCGAGGTGAAGGCTGAAGCAGAGTCAGAAACTCCACAACGCCCGGCAGCGCTCCGGGGAGAGACGGTTAACGGGCTGCTGAATTGCCGTCAATGGTTCGGCGGCGCATGCGACGGTGCCGTGGTGGTGTCCGATGGCTTCCGCTAGAACAAGACTAGAAGATGGGAACACGAGTAGCTAGTTTTGCGCCTCTTTCGTCTCTTCATCTCGCGACCGCCACTTCACCCGAGGTTAGCTCTCTCTTAGTCTGCTCTTATTCTTTGTTTTTTCTGCCCTCGGCGGTTCAACGCCTTTCGTCAGTGCCCAACGCGCGCTGCCGTTATCAATACGCAGAATATCTGCAGAATGCTGAAGTCCGTCACACAACTTGCGGGTAGATGACGAAGACAAAAAACGCACGGTGGAAAAGCAAAACTTGGCCGCTCTTCTTACCTTCAGGCTTTTTGCCTCCACTCGTTCTCCACAGAGTTCAAACCCTTTCAAACAAAGCCCCGATCCTTCATGGTGCGTCCGGCGAGATACGATGAACCCCGGACGACAGGTCAGAAACATTTAATCTATCACCGAGGAACCCTTACGAACCCTCCAAAGCTGGGGCAGACAGGAGACAAAAGTATTGGGTTCTCAGGCCATATTTACTCTGCTAGGTAGCATTGAAACCCTTCCAATAGACCCCCTTGGCCTTCCAGAGAAAGGTCGAGATCCGCCTATGGATGAATTGACCTTCCCCTGGTGTCCTGGACCAGTCTGCGAATAATCCGACAAAATCCGGTCATTGGGCCGAGTACAGGGCAGAGTGCCGAAGGATTCGGCCGGTTGCCAATATATGAGCCATGGAGATTGCCCACGATCCGCTGCTGCAGCCTGCATGTGAAGCGACATCAAGCGAGTTTATTCACCCGAGCTGAGCCAGTCCACGCGGACAACCCATACACATACGGATGCCGACTCAAGAGAACAAGTGGTAAAATCTATGTGTCGCCTCTTCTCGAGTCATAATATCGGCAATTAGACCAAATACTCGCATCGCCCATCGAGCACATCTCACTTTTCTCTTCTCCGTCCCAACTTTGATCGAACATTGGCCACCAATGGCGTGTCGTGCCGGCTCAGACCCTCTAACCGTCCCCATTTTCAACTAATTACTCCACACACAGCGTGCCGGATGTGCCACCAGGATAGGGATAGCACCGGCCAACTGCGACGCCATCTCTGCCCGGACTAACGTCCCAAGGGGTAAAAAAAGGGACACACACCCCCCTTCGTCTGTGTGTGTGTGATGAGCCTGTTGCGTGCCTTGCGTGTCCGTCTTGGGGGCACGGGGGGCGGTCTTCCAGAAAGAAAAGAGGTTCCTTCGATGCGGTTACTGAACCTGCCACACCGAAACTCTGGCTCTTCTTCGGGCGTTTCCTCCTGGTTATTTCGGCATCTTGATTTGCTTCTGTGTGTGTCAAAGCTGGTTGCACCAACACACCACAACTTGCAAGTTGCTATTACCGTTCCTCGGGAACAATCAGCTTCGCCTCAGCTTTGCATTGCCGCGCCAGCCTCGGCCAGCCCCCGATTGTCGCACAAGCTTTTGCTGTGCCGTCGGCGATTGCCCACCGAGAAGAAAAAATGTTCGAATTCTTTCTATTGTTTGTTCATTTGGATCGGGCTACGCTACCATGGTTCCGCAGTGGCATCGCGAGGAGGTATCCAGGCATGGCATCTCAATCCCGGTGGGATGCTGGCCCCTGCCACCGCATCTGTGATCTGGGCTCTCCTCTGCACAAAGCACAAGAGCAGGCCCCTCTTCCAGGGCAAGAAGTTCGAGGAGATTTTTCTGTCGCTGGGCCCCCCGGGTGTTGATCCTTGCGCTCACGATGCTCCCCGACCCTTGCTCGCCTTGGTTCGGCGACTGTGTCTGGGCCCCCCTTCCTGGGGTTTCTTTTCCCTCCCTGAAGATATGCATGTACGGATATGGGTGGATTTGTGTGGCACAGATGACGGGCCTCCATCCGCATGCTCATCCAAGTCTCTCCGTGGGTCGACCCCTCGATCACTATTCACTGCAAGACTGCAAGTCCGGTCCCCTACCCGACATGTGCGGCGCTCCAGACCAGTCGTGGCCTCGGTCCGCTGCCATGCCACGTTGACGGGGAGTCTCCTGCATGTCAGTGTATCACATTTCTCGCTTTCTCTCTCTGCGCAGGCCAGTCCTCGCCTGCCATATACGGCCGCCATCCTGGATGAGCCCTGGGTATTATCCCCATAGCCGGAGCTGGGCACCAGGGTCCTACGCAGTATGTTTGTCCAGTCCGGTATTCCAGCCCATGGCCGAGTTCCCTCCAAACGTCGCCCTCGGTTAGATGTACCAGAAACCACGCCGTCGTCCGGTCTCCGCCGCCGCCACCACTGAGACTTGCATAGTGCGTAGAAACGATGGAGAAAGGGGCGCGCCGTTTGCTAGAACAGTTCAACAGCCGTCATACCACCTTGGAGTGTAACGGCGACCACCGTGTGTCGAAACTAGACCGCACGCTACCGGCACACTGGTCTTGTGTGGCGTTGAACCCAAGTGGAACCGCCGCACCGCAGAAGAAGCTCCCTTTGCTGCATCGAGCATCATCTCCGCGTTGGCATGTCGCTACGTAGGAACCACGCAACCCATCCCGAGGAGCTCCCCCAAAGTGGCCTCTTCTGTCTTCTGCTTGTTGACTAAGACGGAGGGTGTAGAAGGTGTTTCACGACAACCTTAATCCCTCCCGTCCGCCCATCTTTCCACCCCTTTCACCTCGTGGTGGGAAAAACCTTTGACGCCTCCATCACGACCGACGACTATTCGATTATGACGCTCACGCCATGTTCGAGGTGATACATATCTAGCTTGTACGACGACCCTGTTTTCTTCTCCCGGCCCTTTTTGAAAGAGGGGGAGGTTCTTCCTCGGCTCTCACTTGGACATATCCCAATATGAGGTTCATCTCTCTGTTCCTGTCCGTGGCTGCGGTGCTCTCTTGCGCCGCGGCCCAAGGCGATCCTGCTTCAGCTGTAGCATCGCTACCAAGATGCGCAGTAGGTTACACACTGAACACAATGAAATTGCTCGTGCTGTAAATACTAACTATACGGCAGCAAGCATGTCTTGTAACGGCGGTCCTCAGCTCGCCATGCGCGCCGACCAACCAGACGTGTATCTGCACCAATGCTCCTTTGCAGGTCGAAGTTGAAGCTTGTGTTCTACAGAACTGTACTCTTAGGAATGCTCTTAGTGAGTGGCCTTGCCTTCCTTCGGATGTCAATGAGTGAACCCTCCCCCAAGACCTGTCGTCTAACCCGTCACCCTCTCGCAGCAACCAAGAACATCACCCAGACGACATGCGGCGCGACCCCGAGAAATCGCACGCCGATGTACAACACCATCTCCATCACAATGGGCTGCCTGTCTGGCGTATTCGTCATTATTCGCCTAGTACACAAAGTGTTTGCGACGATGGGCGACCTCGGCATGGACGACTGGTTTATTCTCATCACACTCGGCTCCGGTATTCCAGGAACTGTCATCAACACCCACGGGTTCGCCGCCAATGGCCTCGGCAAGGATATTTGGACCGTTTCGTTCACTCAGATCAACGACTTTGGGTATTGGTTTTTCATTATGGAACCAATGTATTTCGGCCAGGTCACGCTGCTCAAGATGTCGCTCCTCTTCTTCTACATGCGCATCTTTTCGCAGAGCAGTATCAAGAAACTCATCTGGGGCACCATCGGGTTTAATGCAGTCTTTGGCCTTACCTTCATCTTTGTCGCCATCTTCCAATGCCAACCGATCAGCTTTTACTGGACAAAGTGGGACGGAAATCGCAACGGACAATGCTTGGATATCAACGCCATCGCCTGGGCCAATGCTGGCATTAGCATCGTGTTGGACATCTGGATGCTCGCTCTGCCTCTATCTCAGATTAAGGGTCTGAACTTGCATTGGAAGAAGAAGATTGGCGTGGCCATGATGTTCTTCGTCGGTACCTTGTAAGTCCTCAAACTGCCTCGATTGCCCCTTTTCGGACGTTTTCTAACACAGCTTCCCAGTGTCACCGTCGTAAGTATTTTGCGTCTCCAGTCTCTGGTCGCATTCGCAAAGTCCCAGAACCCAACCTGGGATCAATTCGAAGTCGCAACCTGGTCCACTGTCGAAATCAACGTGGGCATCATCTGCGCCTGCATGCCTTCAATACGCGTCATCCTCGTCGGCTTCTTCCCCAAGTTGTTGGGCACCACACGGCGCGGTACATCCGCAGCAGCCAAGTACTACATCCAATCGAGTGGCAACGGCCGCAGCCGGAACAGGACGCTGGGCAACGATGCCAAGGTCAGGACCGTCGATCGCGACTCGGGGCTTTCGAGCAGCCCGAATGGCATCATGTACACCAAGGAGTACACTGTGGACTATCACGACGAGACGAGCTTGGTTCACATGCGCGAGCTGGAAGCGGGCAGCTCAAAGACAGGGAGGACGGGACGAAGTGGTTCCCCGTTCTGATTTTCCTTGGTTATTTCTCCTTTGTTACTAGCGGAATTTTGGCTCGGAAGTCTGCGCTTGCAACGAGTTGTATGACACAATGTTTTTCTGGATACCACAATAGCGTGAGGGACTGCCAGACGGTATGCCCAATGGTAATTGACTTAATCGACTCACCGAAAGATCTCCCTGCGGAAGTGATGGCCCGAATTAGTGCGAAAATGTTCCGAAAACAACGAGATCTTCGTTCAGCGGCGGTTGATCCATCAACAACAACCCGCTCGGACCCCTTCTTCTGATCGTGTGATTGAGATGGCCCCCCGCGTAAGCAGCGTCCCTAAACAAGCAGAGCTTCGGACTTCAGATTGAGAACGGGAATAGTGGCTTCTTGGCCGGCTATCGCAACCGAGTCCTCGACCGCCTCTTCCAAGTTCCCTCAACTCATTGTAGGTGGTTGAATCCATTTCGGACGCCCTTCCAAGGTCGTTGCCTTTGTACAAGGGGCTGCTGGTTGTCTAGGGCCCCCAATGCCACCCATTTCCACTCGCGGAGATACCTCAACATTTGGCTCCGCACCCACTCAGCCGGATTGAGTCTTACCCAGGGCCATGAGCGGGCCGTGGGCGGATGCACTGTCAACGTGGTCTTGGCCTAGGAGAGATAAGCCCGCTGCCCGCTATCCGCTCTCGCCTTAGCCTCTTGCCTAATGTGGCACTCGTTACCCTTCCTGAGCTTACGCGATATCTTGTAGCGATTGCACATGCAGCCGGTTTGGCTACGGTTTCGGGAAACGTTTATTCTCTCGTCCAAGTCTAGTAGGGGAGGTAGCCGATGGCTCAACGAGGTAGAGGCGGCGTCCCCCGCCATAGCCACCGAACATTACTTTGAAGGCGGGAATCCGCGTGGCGCATTCCATGCACGGCGTATGTTACTGGCCAATTGCATGTTGAGCAACGATATGTCCCCTTGCCAATGGCAGTTTTGCCCGGATCTGCATTGACGTGTCTCAGTGGGTTGCAGCAAGCAGTTGCCGACGTAACATGTGGTCAACCCTATGGAACCCCCTTGGGAAGCTATTGAAAATAGGTGGATGGGGGTCTGGTGCGGTCTGACCGTTGCGGATCGACATCAGGGGTTGGGAGTTTAAGCAATGACTTGAGACGATCTCGTCGTCTCTGAGACATCAAGTTGTTAAGTGAGCCGGATAGGGCGCATGCATATTACTATCAGTAACTCCATGCACATGGCGGAGAAATCTTTCTGTAAGACCTTCTTCAATGATCTGCGCAGAAACTTTGCGTGACGACCTACTTTAGTCGCTGCTTTCACAATTGCAGTTGCTCACCTGATGAGAAGTTTCAAGCCTAACATTCAATAGCATCGGATATCGAGCCTCTTACTGTGGACTGTGCATCATTAATTGACATTGAGAAGACGGAGGATGAGTGATCAAATTCTCAAGAACAGCTGTAATGCCGAATAGGCTAGGACGTCTACTGCGCGCACGATAGATTTCTCCCTTGCGTCTTGTGATTGTCTGCTAGTTGTATTCCTCAACAAAATTTTAGCTTTGCAACACTGCTATCCCTAGTTTGTTTCGTGATATAGGTATGATGACTGTAAGATCCACTGAACCCCCATGTTATACTGATATGAATATCGAGCGTCATCATTCGACTACCTACTCAGTCAGCCACCTGTACCTTAGAGTGCGAGGTGTACACTACCCGCCTCAATGTGACGGATTGCTTCCATTGCCATGCTCTCAAATCTCAACCTTGTCAGCGGGATGAAACATGGTCAATGGCTCGCAAAAGCGGCATCATTTACCGGAATCTCATCAACTACAACGGGCAGACTCCGAGATTCACCACTTGCGACCGACTGGTAAGCGATGGGACATTCTTCAGCATCGATACGACGCTGCGCGCTTGGGAACCATTCGCGCTTTGACCTTTGCGTTTCCAAGAATTCTACTTCACGTCGCCTGCGGGGTTTCTCATAGGTGATAGGCAGGCGGAGCTACACTACAGTCTATGAGGGACATTAGAGACTAAGGTAGGTGGTTGTAGTTGTCACTCACCATCGTTCTACGCGTATAGAATGTTATTGAGGTATATCGCGCTTGGAGTTATCATTAGCCGATCCGCTCTGTACAAAAGTATAGCATCGACTTTGTGATGTTGAATGTATGTCTCTTGTAAGAGCACCCAGATATAGCCGGCCCTTCTATTATCTTGCCCTCAGCCGGATAAATCTACTGTGTAGGTATAAGATTGAATCTTGCTGTAAGTTGAGAATGCACTCGACTGGTTTGAGGTAGTTCACTATCGACTACTGCAGTTACATCAAGACTAGAGGTTTTTTCCATTTGACTACGAATACGTGCTGTAAAAGCTTCTATACCCGAGAACGTTTCTCTTCTGCCTTAACAGGCTGCCTTCACAGGGGGGCTTGTTAGTCTAGTCGTTTGTAAAAGCATGCGATGACTACATCTCCGCTGAAGTTCAGGAGAGCGAGTAAGTCAAGTTTTGACTCTGAGTATTTTTCTATGAAGACACCAGTGTGTTCATCAAGCATAATTGGTGATCTCACGACGCCGGGGTGTGAAACTTTCCAGCGACAGATATGCTAGCCTATTTGTTTGATCAAACAAGTCGAGCATCGCGTATCCGAATAGTCCATCTTGGCAAGTTGGCAGGTCACTTCACCTTATGCCATAGTCGCGCCTCCAGCTGGCAATTGTCGGTTGTCGACTTCGGAGATGGGCTGTGGCAATTATGTGTGACAGGAGAATTCTTCATATTACCCGCGTGGCAAAACACCTTGATGGACAGCCTGAATCGCCAGCCACAGCGGAAGCCTCAAATTGGACAAGGTGTGATATATTCTCTGTCTTGCAGATACGTCGAGCTAGCCGGAGCGAACTAGCCGATCGACCAAAACCTTCCCGGAGTCACTTACCTGTGCGGTGACAAGTGCCGGCTTTAACCCCTCGCTTCAAGAATCAAGCTTACTTCTTCTAGCGTCATCCCATCACCGCGTCGAACTAAGGTAGTCGATCCAGTCAGTCTACATCCTCACGAATCATGTTATGAGTCAGTCGCTTCCAGTACCAGCTAACGTTGCCGACGAAACTCATCACATCGTCGCTTTTGGACCCTGCAGAAGCGTGGCCGGTCGCCAGCAGTAGTTTCACATGATATGGCTGAGGTTCAGGTCGGTGTCACGGTGAGAAGTGAGTCATGTTTCAAGTACAGCTAGGTTCAAGACATTGATTCCTAGTCCCACTGGTGTAATCGGAGAATGGTGTGTTTATTGTAAGTCAACGCCAAAGTAAGTACTCGAGGAAACGACGTGGAATAGTACTTCTGCAGGCGAGATGAGCTGCGGCTCTCGTGCCTCTCGGATTCTCAGGTCCTGTTTCTAGATGAAGTGATTCTGTGTATGCCGGCAGAGTCGGGAGACACATTTGCCATTCTCATGTGCATTAAGGAAGTCCCGAGGCCGTAGAATCATAACAGCAGCCTATGTTGCTCACACCGAAAGCTGCGAGGTCTTCCCAATGGCCTCATTTGGGAAGTGTCAAAATCATACATTCTTAAGCATCAATACTATCAGGGTCAAACGATCACTTTGTATGCAACTCTTGCTTGATCAAAACGATTGGGCACAGATTAAAAAGTAGAACGTGAAGAATTCTTTGGATAAGGAAAAGTCAACACGGATGTAGAGTTTACCCAAATGTCATGTTAGTTAGTGAAGGACACCTGGTCAATTCTTGACAAAGTTGCAACTGATTTTGAACCTGGCCAATCGGATCACAAGCCACCACCTTTTTCGCAAACCCTCAACAGACAGCCAAAACTTCAGGTGAATTATCTTCATATCAAAGAAAAAGCTACCACCAGGTGAATATCAGCGACAGAAAGCTGCATCGACAAAACAGTGTGATCAGTGGGAGGCTTGAACTCCCGGCCTTGGCATTACACAACATTTCAGGTGAAATATTAGTACCACGCTCTAACCAACTGAGCTAACCGACCAATTTGGTTGGAAGCCTAAGCCGTGATGAGTTCCTAAGCACCCCACCGTGGTTTCCAGACCCTCACTAGGGTAGTTCCTAGCGCCAAGCGGGACAACAAGATCTTGAACCATCAAGTCACTGGAGAGAAATTTTCTTCTTCATGTTCTTATAGCTAACTTGGCTTGAAACCATGTTTGCAAGGTAGTTGATGAAGGCCCAATGAATCGAGTTGCTGCTCTAGACTTGTAAGTTGTGAATCAGACCGAAAACTCCAGTTATCCATGTCAGCTTGTAGCCCACATTGACTCTACGCCTGTAAATCACTCCATGAAAACTCCGGGCGCATCCATTCGTACGTGTCCAAGAGATCAAAATTGAAATCCAACTGCGCCGAAAAGTCCCATTCCATCGCATCGCCAGACAGGTTGCGGTTCGGTGCCCCATTGAGTGCTTCGTCCAGCACCTGCTTCACAATAGTCATTGTGCTCGCGCAGGTGCTGCCAGGGGCTTCGGACGGGCTCACCCACTTGAGAAAGCCGACAAGAAGACTCAGCACTTGTACAATACCGGACCTGGTAATGACTTTGCCGGTACTGTCTGTGACGGGGATGCTGCTGTTCCCTAGAGTTGGTGTGGGCTTCAGTAACTCTAGGCAGAGGATTCCGCCTCCTGGAGCAGCATATGCCATGACCTGATGGAGTCGTGGATGTCAGTCATGTAGCTCTAATTTGAGGTTCTTTAAGTTTGATGCACCGTTGCACTTACAAGCCACTTGAAATCCTCGCACAAGACACCGAGACTATCCATATCAGTCCAGTAGAGCAATGTCGTCGCCGTCATTTCGTAGCTGACCGACAGCAAATCTCGCTTGTTAGAGCAGTCCTGCCGATTCAATAGCCGCTCAATGAAGAAGAGGTTCTGCAGATGTTCCAGCTGCATGAGCAGCCGCACGTGGAACATCTGACCAGTGAGACTCGGATTTCGAATGTCTGAT